GTTACTCACATGGAGTTATTATTATTTGGATATTCAATTATAAACCACTTCAATAATTTAAATGTTTGGCCTTTCCTTCTTCTCTTCAGAAATACACATGCTGCATTTATTCAGCATCACCTCCACAGATTACTCAAGCTGCTTGTGAGCTATACGTTTTTCACTGGAATTAATTCAAGAAGGCGTAAAAAGGAAAAAGAGGAGGTGAGAAAACTGTCCGTGATGCCAGAGAATGCTGTACAGCCAACACCTTTTCAGTTCCCAATTATATAATTCTATTATTTTTAGAAGCAGCCTTTTAGGTTCTTATTAAGCTAGATTCTACGGCAGGCTTCAGCAATGTATGGCTCCTGGGCCAAACGTGGCTCATTAGCTTGAGAACTAATGACTGCTATGTCGGACCAGTATTATAATTAGAACTTATAGAACGTGGCTGTAATTTTTCACATTACACCAAATTTTCAGCTTTCTTGTTTGCTAACAGCAAACATCGCAATGACACTTTCCTCCAACTGAAGATCAAGTGTGACTTTTTTTTTTAGGTAGAGAAAGTGGTGTTGAGTTCAAGCCCAGGTAGCTCTGTCTGTAGAGCATGAGACTCCCAGCTTCAGGGTGGTGGGTTCAAGCCCCACAATGGGTGGAGTGTTATAGCGAGTGGTGAGCACAGTTCCCTTCCAACCAGTTAGGTCCCAGCCATCACAAACGCTTGTGTGTTCCCATAGTGTAGTGGTCAATATCTGCTGCTAGAGCCCCAGAGGAACCACATACTCGGCGCCTCCTGTTGCAGCAGATCTGCTGTTATCACAATGATTTCTGCAGTGTGAGATCACTAATCAATCGACCAATAATCGATCATGGTCATTGTCTAGTGTAGCAGTTAGCACGCCTTTCTTGCTCAGAGTCCTGGGTTCGATTTTCAGAGGAACCACATACTCAATGGTGCCTCCCATGTGGCTGCCTGTGTCAACTGCAAACACTTATGCTGAAAATGTCCCCATTGTGGGACAAATGAGGAACTCTATTATTATTTTCCCAGTGTGGGATCAATAAAATTGGAATTATTATTATTATTAATTTACTGAGTGCTATTGTGTTGAAATTTCCCTAATTAAAAAAAAATCTAATAATAAACAGCAAATGTAGTGCTGACTAGAAATGCAGTTAAGTTCTTTTCTTCATGCATTGACGACATGCACTACATCAGACTAAACACAGTTAAAAATTATTTTTAAGAAATACTCATCGAACTACATTTTGTGTTTTGTTGTTGTCGTTTGCCACTCTGTACATGAGGTGTTAAGAAAACTAGCATCTTTGACAGGTATCGTTCACACAGGTTACACTTCCCTGCCTACTAAACTGTGATAGTTTGTGCAGTCACCTGTGTACGTGTGACATTTTGCGTGTCTCATTCTAATTGCCGCTATAAATATCTCCACTCAACCTTACTTTGAGACTTCTGTGACTTTTATGCTGCTCATTAATGGTTCCAGCTTGAATTTTTAGTCCATACTTATTTATGTTTAATGTACTTGTATTCTGACTTTAATTATGTATAGCTGCTGTTTTCGAATTAATAAATGATGATTTATATTTATAAAAAGCATCAACACAAGGAGGCACTTTTTAGTTGTTTTATTCTTTCTGAATTGTTTTAATATTATTAATTGAGTTGTAAGTTTTATGAGTAACTCATGTTGTTGTTATACAGGAAGCACTGGGCTTTTTAATATTTTTTTCTATTTAAGTTCAATTAACCTCAGTTTTATGTGTTAAGTGTTATGATAAATCAAGGTAATTTAATATTTTAGTTTTTGTTGAAATAAAAAAAAATATATTTACAATACAATATTTTGGATTTACTGATAGAACATGCCTTGTAGCATTCTTTCCAAGTTCCACAAGGTCGTCTCCAAGTTCACGCCACAGTGGCCCACGGATGGAGAAACTTAATCTAAGCTGTGTGAAAGAGTTTGTGAGGAGAAGTGACATCTAAAAATGATGGTTTCAGTGTGAAACAGACTATTCAGCTCTACTCTCCTTTCCCCAAGCGTGTCAGGGAAGGATGGTGGCATTTGAACCATAGAGGATATTGAAAGACTTTGCGAAACCCTCACACATCTCCTCACATCGGAACTCTTTGTGGTCGGTTCGTCCGTCAGTTTTAAGAATACAGAAAAATTCATGCAGCAAGGCATTGAAATGTTTATGTCTGCAGACGTACAGTTCGTGAGGCTAATATATGGGCGTGACATAAATTTCCACTTCTGGCAGCAATTTGTTTTTAAAGTTTCCCTGTCAGCCATGTAAGGTGAGCCAAGCAGGCTATCACGGAAACCAAACTGTGTCGGCCCTTACAAGGTTTCTTTCAGTTCTAGGAACTCGTGCTGTGACATGCTGTCATGGAACAGATGACAAGATGACAGAACAAAAGGAACACCTTCATGATCTTGGCTGCAGGTAAAATGAAACTGGTGCACATTTAGTCTAAGGCAGAAGCAGAGCTTCATATTGTCTCTGATGGCTGGATTGACAGATAATAATTTGTATCTCTCTGATTCTTTTTCCCTGACAAAGTGGGATAGATAGCACACCTGGGTCTTTTTCAAAAACTCTTCAGAATATTACATCTGCAGAGGAGTCTGGTGCCATCACTCATCTGATACACTATTGATATATTTTTAACAAATTCTCTCCACAGTAATTAAAATAAACACCCTTTTTTGAACAACTGATTTTTTTTTCACCTCACATGTAAAATATTGAGACACTTACATTTAAAGTGTATTGTAGTATAATTTAAAGGATGGATGAAAATATCGATAGCTCTTTTTTATCTATATTTTTGAAGTACGATATCTGATTTCCAATTCGGTCATGACCAGGGGGAATTTGGTGAATAGTATAAGGGTTTTTTTTTTTTGTAATCATCTCATATCGGGATAGCTGAAACAGGCTGAGTGTGCGTGTGGAGATGAGAGGAGAGAGGAGTCATGTGGAGCAGGATCAGCAGGAGTTGTGCTGGCTGAGCTGATTACCACAGCTGCAGCCATCAACTAATGGGCTCTGCTTTCTTAGGACAGCTGTGGCATGAGGTAGAACTTCCAGAAGAAGCGTCCAAGAGTGAGTCATTAAAATGGCAGCAATCTTTTTTTTTTTTTTACCATAGATAATCCTCAGTCTATTCGAAGATTAGATCTAATAAGAGTTGTCAGATACAGCGAGCTCGTTTTATCATTCATCATTTAGAACATAAGACCAATGAGCACTGAAGTTAATGACATGGGAAACAGTTGATAACGCTGCCATGTCACACTGGTCGTACACTGTGTTGACCACCACACAACTCGTCTGGCCAGCAGGGGCTTTACTGGTTCAGACAACAGAGTCAGAGCGCTGCTGCAGTGCTGCTGCGGCAGCTCAGCTCACTTCTGTTGGTGCACTGGTCTTCTTTCTCTCATGGACACTCTGACAACACTCCTTTACAGAGTGAGGTGTGTCTTTGCTGTCTTTGACTCACCATAGTCACGGTGCTACTGCTTCATCTTTTTTTAGTTTTAATGCTGAAAGAAACACAACAATTCACACTAACATTCACAACGACAATGGATTTTTATTGTGTCCAATGGACTTTTACATGGAGTTGGTCACAATGAACATCAATGGAGACCACATGAGAAGTGTGCAGTTGAATTCTATATTTTCTTACCAATCTAATGTGCCCACATCAAATACCACCACCTTTATATTTGCCCAACACTCAATAGAATACACAGAATGTTTGGGTATCAAAACCAAGCAGTCATTTAAAAAAATATATCATAATCTAATAAGAAGTATTTACATGTCTTTTCCTGGTTTTCTTTGTCAACAATTTAACACTCCCCCTGTCAATTCCTATTTTTTCTTCTTTCTTTTTTTGTTTTTCAAAACGGCTAATGAGGCAAGAGCGCTGGCAGGGTTAATGTAGCATTAGCATAACATGATTGGAGCCGAGGGTGTTTGTGTAATGTTTTAAAGTTTAATGTTGTGGATTCTGCGATCGGAAGTAAAAAGCTCCACAAAACAAACAAGCTATTTCTAACCCTGGTCGGTTGTTAGTAGTAACTAGTCACAAAATCTGGGGCGGTTAGCTCAATAAATACGATCACAGGCTCTATTTGAGTGTTGGCTGCTGCTTCATTAACAATAAAAAATGTTAAAATGCAAAGCTTTCAGCTAAAGAAATAGTGACAGTTTCTTTAGCTTTAGCAGTGCTATAGTGACATCTTTTATAAATTAGCTGTAGCTTCACAAGCTACAACTCTGTAGTCACGTACACATTCAAGTTTTTGGTTAATGTGAGGCTTTTATGTTATAGTCGGGAGTATACAAGGCAGTGTTTTATACTGCATTTTCCTCCTTTTTTAATGTCTGCAATCTAATAAAAACTAATGGACAATTTAATGTGTAATTAAAACGAATTAATAGTTCTGCTTCCTGGGGCATCAGAGAGAAGGAATAAATTCATTTTGTGCAGCTTTAAACAGGCTTTTTTGTTATTGATCAGGACTCTACTAATCGTTTATTTTTTCCTTGACAGACAGACCATTAATGTGTGATTTGATTTACTTCCTCAATTTATTTTGAGCAGATGCTCAGAATTTCTCAGGCAGCTATGTTACATATGTCAACATGTTTATTAAAATTGCATGAACAATGTAGGTCATGTTTCATTTACCCACAAATGTTGGCCCTTCTTGGCCTAGTTGTTATACATTATTGATGCCAATTAAGCAGTGTGTAGAGAAGTGTTTAAAAAATAAATAAATACGATTTTAAAAGTCTACTAAAATGTAAAAAATGTAATATAGACCACATAAAAACCCTGTCTTATACCTTGTTTTTTTAATGTAGAGATCATTTAACCATTACTGTTTTATTTAGATTAGTTGTTTTATTCAATGGGTACACATTTAATCACCTCTATTGCTAGAAAAAAAAAAAAAAAGACTTGTCCTTAATATACAATCTACCCAATCCAAAATGCTGTCAGTCTCAGTGTCTGTCTGACTTTGGGCTGGTTTTAAAATCACTTTCCCATATAGAAAAAATGGGATGGAATCACATATAGTACAGTACAGAGTGCTACGTTAAAAAAAAAAAAAAAAAGTTTGGTTTCTTCTCATTTCCTTGCTCTTTCTTCACTTGTTTTGATCCCTTGACAGGGTTACACTGAGTTGTTTTGCACAGCTTTTAGTTTGTCTTTGCAAGACAGACCGAAATACACAACCAAAGAGGAGTGTAAGTGTTTTTTATTTATTAATATATATTTTTTATCTCAGATTTCAGAGAACTGGCAGCATGAACAGTACAGTACTGTGTTCTTCTTGGGAAGCATTGTTTACCTTCAGGTGTATTCTGCTTTTCTGATCGCTCTTTCCTTCCATTATTTTTTTTTTTACCCCTGCAAAGTGACCCTGCTCAGTAACAACTTCACATCTGACTATGAAAAGAGTAAGAAGCTGCAACTTTTTTATCCTGGATGCTGGCTCAATTTAAAAACATGTTACCGGTCAGAAACACTGGCTCTGAAACCTTTGGCGTGAAAAAATGAAAAGTCTTTTCATCACATTCATGGTTTGAATGGAGTGTTCTTTGGTGTTGAAGTTTTGAGGTGTGTCGGTCTCTGGTTCCTCCTGCCACTGTCTGCTGGGTTGATCGGTGTCATCACACTCACCTGTGTCTGTCATTAGTCTCACTGGTGTCACCTGGTGTCCTGGTACATAAACCTCACTCAGTCTTTGTCCAGTCATTGCCATGTTGGTCTTTGCTCATGCCTTGTGTTCTTGCTCCTCTGTGATCTGATTGTTCCTGCCTAGTCCCTGAATCCAGTAAGTGGATACATTTTGAGTTTTTGATCTAGTTATGAATATTCTAAGACCAAGAGTCTCCCCTCGATTGCTGTACCAGGGTTCCACCTGCTTCCTGAGTCCAACCCCAAAGCATAACATTAGCGTTTCGTCCCACGTTTGGTACAGGTGTTTAAAAAAAAAAAAAAAAAAAAGTTTCAGTCTGCTGCCGAAGGAGCTACAACCTGATTTCTTTTTTAGTGTGCCATTATTTTTGAAATATAAAATCTGTAGTTTCATGATAAAAACCCACAATTCCTTGAAAACTAGTGTATATACTCTGAAGCATGCCAGAAATGTTTGGAAGTAATTGGAATTTTTGCTTGTAAATTTTTACCTTGACTGAACCACACACTAGGTGGCAGTCATTCAGCTCATGAGGTTGAGAGTAGAACCAAAAGATGAGGAAAGAACTTAATTAAAAATAAACTGAATGGAGGTTAGAGAAGAAAAATTTAGGTTCCCAAGTTCATTGGATGTCACTTTTTAAACTTGCTCTGCAAAGACTGGCTTAGAGGAAACTAGAAATAACACACAATTTGCAGATTCTTTCACAATCAGTGGCAGGGAAAATCTAAAGATTGAACTCTGAAGCGGTCTTGAGTACACTACTGTCAGTCAGTTATCTGATTCTTGTCAAAAATGTAATGGTACGTATTCCTTAAAAACTGAGTGTTGAAAAGCTCTTTTGTCAACATGAATCTCGGAGCTGCTTCCTCTCAATACTCTCTCTCTCATGCCTCTGTTTTCACCTTTCTCAGCTTGACTTAACTGATATTTATGTCTTTTGCGATGGCCTCAGCTTCATTCATCACACCTGACAGGGAGGTCATGTTTTTGCTTTATCTTTTTGTTTGTTGTTTATTCATCTGCGAGAGTCAACACAATGTGTTGAAAGGATTTTTAGAAAATCGAGTAAAAGCACAAGTGTCGGTTAGAAAAATAACAGGGAACCAGGTCAGTGGCAAGGTCCAGCATTTCATTTTTTGTTTTGTTGCATTTTTACATAAAGATTCACAATGATGTGTGGAATGTGACAAATGTGGAGGGATGTTTGGCCTTGGTTGATGTTATGCAACTGAATACCATTCTAATTAATTTTAAAAACTGATTCCTTTTGTTCATATTTTGGTATTTTTTTGCACTGAGGAAAATTTTAACAGTTTCTTTTCATAGATGCAGGTAAAATGTTGCTGATGGAGTAAATTAATAGACAGAATGTGTGAAAAGTTCACATTTCATGAATAAATCATAAATAAATAAATAAATGAAATAAGGGATTTTAAAATGCACTCGTTCATATCACATTAATTATTTTGTGAAGATTAAACATGTCACACTTTTTAATGCATGGGCAAGAATGACAGAATTCAGTCGTACTTATGTACCGTATGTGAGTTCTGAGGTTAAGAGGAGGTCTGTGGGATGCAGCAACTGACACAGGTGGTCTAATTGTGCTAACTGCTAACTGGCTAACTGGAGCCAAGGGACCGCTCACTTGTTACCAGGTCTTAAACAGTTGTCTCCACAGTTTAAATTATTTTGAAGACACTACTGTTTGGTGTTTGTGCCACCTATTGTTCTAGGTAATTACATGAAGTAAATAAGATGTCATTATATACAACATCTGCAGAGGAAGGGATAAACAAAAGGAACCACTCTTTAGCTGCAGTTCAATTGCAGCCATGAAGCAAACTCTGTCACTGAGATTAGCTAACAAGCTAAACATTACTGAGCAGGCGCCTGAACAGTCGCCACAAACACACACAAAGAGAGAGTGAGTGAGGTATATAACAATTTTTTGAATTACAGGGACTTATTTTAACATGTAGCTTTGTGCTTACAAAAATCAGTTCTTGGGATGTGTGTGAATCCACACAGAGTTCAGTCTTCACAGAGCTCTGCAAGGAGAGAAACTGTCGACAAAAACACGCTCTGATTTCTTCTGGTTGCATCATCAAAACAATGAAATTCAAATTAGGTGACACAGTGTTTATACACCAAACGCCGCTAAAGCACCTGTGTGTCAGTGTGGTCCTCTACCAAAGAACAACCACTTTACACTGTAGCTGCTGGTTACCAGCAGTGTTTAAGGATAAAAATCATCTTCTGCTTTTGATCGAGCCCTGTTTGTATTGGTTAGGATGTTAGTGACAATAAACATCAAAGTCGAGTTGATGAGTCATTTAATGACATTAACACTTCCACACGTCCAGTTACTCACCATATGTTACTATTGTAGCTTAGCTGATGCTGTGACTCATCCAAGTGGATGTCAACTTGTGACTCTCACGTCTCTGTGTTGACAACTCGTGGTGGAGGTATCTCAGGGTGTTTATTTTAAATGCAGCTTCTTAACGCGCAAATCTGTTTCCAGAGTAAACAAATGTTTGCTGTAGTTCCATACGAGTGCCACTGCTTTTTTCTTTTCTTTTCACCACTCACCGTTTCTTCTTGTTTCTTTCCTGACACTTGATTAAACACACACTGTCTTCAATGAAAGCATTTTAATTGTACCCTTCAACCACCTGGTAGTGGCAAAGAAAAAGCCTGCTTCATTGGACTTTTCACACAATTTGTCCCCTGCATTTAAGCCATCCCAGGGAAGACCTGCAGTGGACACTTTGATCAGCACCTGGGATCTCAAGAACATTTTTTGGAGCTTTTAATTTACTAAAATCAGGAAGAAACACTTGAGGCATTGTCTACAGTTTGATGAAGATGATACACAAAAGTCATCCACAGTATTGGACATGGCATTTAACAGTGGATAGCAGGAAGTGAAGAAGAAAACTCATACAGAAGCAGAGGCGGTTAATGCATAGTTTACTCCGTCATTACACAAAACAAGTGGCTTTTTGGTTCCTGACTTCGTGGTTAAGAACATCAAACTCTCCAACCCATTTTTAGCCAAACCTTCAATTAGTCGTAGAAGACATAAATCTATATAATAACCTAATAATAATAATAAAGATAATACTTGTATTTCTTTTTTTGCATGTTTTGCAGAAAATGGTGAGCTACAACTAAAGTTTTTAAGGCATAGTGATTTATACATTCATATATATTTAAGTGTAGATTTATATGTATTCAGACATATAGAACTACTGTATGTTTGTCACTGGATAAAATTCAAGTCATAATAAGCACATGATTTAATTTATTGTATAAACTACACACTTGGATTTTTAAAAAATATTTTTACATGGTGGTCGACTTGACACGTTTTGTTTTCTCCAAACTTTTGTCTTCTTCAAATGGAAGAGATTATTTACCCGTGCAGATCGATGTTGATTTGAATAAAGATATCGGAACAGTGGTGGTGCAGTAGTGTGTGATGCTATGGCTGTTTTCACGCGTCACCAGTGGGCGCTTTTCTCCTGCGTACAAAGAGAGGAACGCGGGGTTGCGCACAGTTCTGAGTGCGTTCAGAGGCTCTGCTGTGGTCTGCTGTGTCGGCTGCGTCTGGTGGAGTGTAATCTGCGGAGCTGGAGGAACGAGTGACTATCGCCACCTCAGTTCTCCCTGACTCACAGTGGAATTACTGCAGTAGGAGAGAAGACTGCTGTTGCTGCTGCTGTTCGTCCCAGCCTCCGGGAGCTGGAAAAGAGACGGACGGAAGGAGAACAATTGTGCGTAAAACAGCAGTGGAACAGCACGCAGCGAGTTGTTCTTCGGCTTTACTTAAAGAGAAGAGAGTTGCTGTTTAAGATGCAGTTTTATCCGCGCAGTAACTGAAACACGCCTGGAGTGGGATTACAGTCAGTGCAGTTTCATGAAGAGGAAAAAAATTGCCTCCTAGGACAAGTGAGTGTTCAGTCGTTATTTTACAAGCGATGTAATTGCTTTTTTTTTTGAAAAAAAAAAAAAAAAACCTCTCACACTTGATGTGCATGATAATTTGGTTTGGTTGGAAATGTCCAAAAACGGCTCAAGTAGTGACAGGGATTAAAAAGGAAATTAAATAAAATATAACCTTCCGTCACCGGGCGAGATGTCTCCATCGCATATTCTCCTCGGGGCAGCGTGTGCATCTTAACAGTGGCCACCATCAGCACTTGTTTCGGGTTATCAGCGTCACTGTCATTGGGATTATTCCTATAGAAGTTAAATAAGCAATTAATACAAATCAAATTGAGCTCTGTTTTTAAAACATCTTAACCAAGTCATCTGAGGACCTCCGGACGCTCGTGCCTTAAATGGTTTGCAGTGTCCTACTGGGATTTCTACTGTTGGGGTTCATTTCCCTCATCTAGGACTTGGTCCATATGGTGCTGCTCTGCTCGGTCACATGGAGCGACAGAATTAGGGCTGGAGAAAACCGCGATATATCTTCCTCTTCCTCGGTTTCTCTTTTCTTCCGTCTCCTTTCTCCTCACTTCTTGGTTACCAAGTGGACGAGGGTAATTACCTCTGTGGTCTCCGTAGAAGGAAAAGCCTCTGTGGGTTTCTTCCTAATGTTATGTCCTCTTTCGAATATTAATGTTTTAGTAATTTGTTTTGGCTTTTTTCTTAACAAAATTAACTATTTCATATAGTTGATATGACAAAAACAAACAGTATTAGTGTTATTTAAATAAAATGTACCCTTCAGTCTTGGTCCAAATTCTCCCCCTGAAAGTCTGGTGGTCTGTTTTCCTCAATTCAGTTCATACAGACGGCATAAAAAGCAACCTAAGTGTGAGAGAGAGTGCTTCCTCATCTACAAAACATTGTATTCACCCAGGATTGTAAATTTTGTCTCTTCCATTCATGTTTATTTATAGACCATTTGCACAATTTGCACAAATGAGAGGTGAATTATGCAGTAACAAAGCAGCAACCTGCACGGCTGTGCGGTAATGAGTTTATACTCCTGGACCATTTGCCCTTTTGATTAAAGGCAGTGGCAGTAACATTGCATGGCCAGTTTTCTCCCCAGTAAAGGTTGTGAAATGACATGTGAACAATGGAGAAAAAAAAAACCCCTAAAAGAGCAGCCTCCCTCTCTGCTGCTCCTCATCCTTGACCTCTTCGTCATGTGTCATGTGCCACTATCTGGGATAAGGGTCTGGAGATATGCTTGGTCGATGATAGGGTTGAGAAATGGATCACGGCTTCCCGCTCCTTTAAGTGCACTTGCCCTAATGTTGGGCAACAGCTGAGGGATGCAGCGGTGCTCAACATCGCAGGAAGCCACAAAGGGTGTCCTGCTGTCTCACACTGTCATTGATTTTTTTTCCCCCCAGAAGAAGCTGTACAGATGTACGGTATCTGCAGAATGCCCTGCCCAGATGTTGAGTCAGACGCTGGCAAATTTATGATGTTAATACTATAAATGTCAGGAGCTATTTTATCTGGAAAGGAAATTACAGGTTTATTGCTATCGTTGTGTGAAATCAACATTGATCTGAGTGTAAATATGGTTTGTGCCTTTCACAAATGACCATGTGTTTCTCCACGGCCTCGTCCAATTTCACTCAGCTCACATCATTTATGAGTTTTGCAACATTTTCTTATCATATCCGTCATGGATAAATGAGACATCTTTGTTTTGTTTTTATTTTTAGACCAAATTGTTTTAAACTCCATTCGTAAGCCACGCACCGTTAATGCACAGTTTGGAGCCCAGATAAATTTGAGAACGTTTCTTAGGCTGTGGTTACATTGTTTTTTGGTTTATTGTGTGTGCATGACTGATGTGATTCTAGCATGCCTCTGTTCTTGACAAAGTTGCAGTTGAGTTTCATACCAAATTTCCCTTTTTTTAAAAAACTATAAAATAATCTTAATTCTCTTCAGGAACATAGAAGTACTCAACCAAATACCACAACTCTTATGTTTATACTGAAAAGTCATAAATAACTATAAATCACTTTTAGTTTTGATTGAACTACTTGTGACAAATAATGTTACAAGAAAATTTCAAATATTCTTTGTAAAATGTAAATGGTGGGTACCTATTGTACATAGTAGTTTTTAGTCCTGAGGACCTGAGGACTCAAAGCGCTTTATACTTAAGGTTACACTACAGAGTCTGGAATTCATCCAACAACCCTCTGGTTAAAAGAGAACTGTAAAACCTACAGAGCTGTCAAGACCTTAGCCGTATCCCCTTGATAAATAGAAGACAGATACATTCAGACAGTATCCCATAGCACAAATGAACCAAAAAGGACCTTTCTGGTATTTTAAGACCAACGTCATTGTTTGCAAGAGAAAAGGGTTTACCACGGAGCTGTGTTGCCCAGGGACACACCAGAATGTAGATGGAGGGAGCCAGGGATCCAACCACAGGCAGTTGGTTGTGAATGATCCCTTCAAGGTACTGTACCACACCTGCTCCACAACCTGATTTCTTAAATATAATTTCCCAGCTACCCCACTGCGCCCTCTGCTCTAAAATGGAGACGTTTAGATAAGTATTTCTATCTTCATCACCATTTATATTTATTTGATTTTTAATTTAATCTCCTAGGGTGGTGTAGGAATCGACTCACACAGGTTTTTCAGTCGGTAATTTAGGACGTATCAGTACACAGTTGATTGTGAATTCCTCATTCACCAGGAAAAGCACAGAGCAGCTGTTTGTCGAGAATGAGCCTACCCCTGGTGGCTGATCCTTATTTCCCAGATTCCTCTGCTGGATGGCTAAATGGATGTGGCAGCTGCTTGTCATAAAGATGATAAATAAACAGTGATGAATACCTCAAAGTGAATTGTGAATATGTATGCATTGTGCCACTGTTGTTCTGTGTTTACACACTGGAGATTATTTTCTTTTTCTTCCTCCAAGAATACGTATTGATTGGTGTTTGCCTGCGCACCAAATGAGATGTAAATACAGAGCTGCAGCACGAGCATCTTTTTATGGAGAAGCTTTCCTTTCCTTACCTTTCTCTGTTTCATGTGGGGTTGTTTTTGCAATTACGTGGCCCTTAAAGGCTAAATTGTGGGCTTTAACCACCATGCCTATCAATTATTTGCCCAACAACAGCTCCCTAAAACAAGAAGTCATCTCATTTACACTGCAATGTGTTTAGGGAATGATTTCCATTAGGTTTAGCCTCTGTGGGGGAGAGCGCTACAAGAGATGCCTCATTACATTTGGCAGGGCAATCTCTTGCTCAGCTGTAGAAAGTCCAAGTCCAAAACACCTTTTCACCTTGATGGTTTCAGAGCTTGGAGGAAGTTGTTTTCAGTTTTCTCTGTGTCCTAAAAAAAGAACAACTTTTCCTCCAGGATTAAAACTTGTGTTAGGTTACCCATTTTGATGTCAGTAAATTTCAAAAAGTGTGTTACTTTTATTTATCATAAATTATTTGTTTTAGGGGAAAAAATTATTAGTTTTAGTAGATGGCAACGTAACAATGAAACTGCAGGTTGAAAACAATGCAAACAAGCCACAAATTTCACGACCTGTGCAGATACCCCAACTGTGCTAATCACTAGATGCTTTGTGCTCAGCACCGCACAGATTGCAGGTACCTGTGGCACTCAAGACAGGAATAGAGTTTATAAGTAACATATGAAATGATGTGTGTGTGACTGAGCACGTCTTTGTGCACAGACTGTTTTTACCAGCAGATTTGAACTTTTTAAGATGCCTTACTGCCACCTACTGCTTATGTTTACTACAGTAAAATTTTTATCTATGTCTGAGGTCTGCAGTCCTTTTTAGCTGTGGGCTGTTTTTTGTGTACAACAATATTCTCCGGGACCAGTAATCAGAGTGCAGTGAAAAGACACAAAAGAATAAAATGATACAATTTGATTAGTCTAAAAGCATTTGTAATTGGGAGAGAAAGAAGTCATTTTTTAAATTATTAGACTGTTTCTTCATGGGCCTAGCATCAATGAAGGATGCAGTGGTGTTGGACCTGGATCTGGTAGTTTAGGACTTCTGATGTACATGACAAACCATTATCTAGGTCACTTGTATGAGAATACAGCAACCTACATGATGAGAACTGCAGTCCAGCAGTGTAGGTTTGTGAGTGACAGCTTATCCTCAGAAAAACCCCAGGACCTCCACTACTGAACACTGCTGTGCCAGCAATTTCACTTGAGAAGCAATTGTAGACAACAGGACAGTCAAACCACATCAATGCTGGCCCTGGAGTTACAATCAGACAGACAGGGTGGCGTCTCCCTGTAGACTCTGCCTAGCTTTGTATTTTGCTATAGAAATATACAGTTTAGTTTGAGAACCTCCACCACACGTTCAACATGTGCGATTTGGTGAGATGAATAAGTGGTGAGTGTTTGGGTCTGCAGCTGGAATTCCAAAGATAGCCCTGAATTATTCCACACAACAGGGCCGTGTTTTAAGGCTGTGGAGCTGGTGGTTTTTTTTTTTTCCTTCATCCTGACGGACATATCAGCATCACTTACTGTGATGTAGGTCAGAGCTTGAGCAAAGACCGTCCTGTGCCCCTGACACTGTAGCAGCACACTCCTCAGTTCCTCCCTGTCTTACATTAGAAATATCTTCATTGACATTGGCCAATGAATCTTAGGGAGATGTTATACTGAAATTCGTACAAAACTGCAATTTTCATTGAACAAATTAAATAGAATTACACCACAGTATAGTCCCCCGACTGTGAAACTGAAAAAGGAAAATGTTATTTGAAATATTTGCCTAGATGCACCCGCACTACTATAGCTGCGTGTGGCTGAGGGAGGTCGCCTCCCTCTTTCGGTCTGTCTGAATGGGTTTTCCGATATTTGTAATTGATTTAGTGATTTTAGCTTTGCCTGAAAAGTAGTGAGCCACACAATGAAGTGTAAGGCATTAAATATAGTCTGTGGGTTTCAAAAATACCATGTAATACAACTTTAATGTCCACTTGGAGCAGTAGGTCATGTAAAATTGACAACATTTTTCTTTGCTGCTGAGTTTGCTGTGGAGTTAAGTGAGAGATCAATTCCAGAGAATGACCATTTTTTGTGGCAACTGATCAATTTTTAATCATGCTTTAAGATTGAAGAGATTTCTTTGAAAGTGATTTATTTTTTCTTGGATTTGATGGATAAGTTTATTTAAATTACTTAAACTGGAGATGGACATCATGTCTTTTAACTCAGATTCAACACCTGGGAACAGCTCATTCATGTAAGTGATCTAATAGTGGACAAGTAGTCAACCTTATCATAAAAGCCCATTATTTAGATTTTTATTTAATTTATTTATTGCTTGTATGTGGATCAATATGTCATATTTTAATCATGTCCCTAACTCCTTTCCTTTCAGATCATAATTCTTGTAATTAAGGAGACGAGTTTTCATGTCACAAACACATTTGGATGAGAATCCTATTAACTCACAGCAACTAAAGATGACGTTACCATGGAAACAAATCCTTCTGTTATCAATCACTGGATGCCTTACAGGTAAGTTGCACTGACACCTTTATATATGTGTTTCATTGGTTTGTTGTCTGGACTATCTTGCCTTCTCATTTATAAATAAATACATCTAATATATTAGGTTATTGTGATATTGGTGTGTTCTACTGAATGCGTGTCTCTGAGGTAACAGAGTAGCAACATCTTGTTCTTGGTAAACAATGCCTCTGGGAGAAAGCAAATTATCATAGCTGCTTCATCTAACTTGTGCTCGCATATGAAATATACGCTATATATGTTCTATTGGCAACATATATAGCAGTGTGCCAGTGAAGGAACTACTTGAACAAGCTAATGAATAGCTTGTTAATGAAAGAGAGAAACAAAGAAACAGAGAGAGAGGGGGGGGGGGGGGGGGGGGGGTGAGAGAAGAATAAGTAGAAGTCAATCAGCTGGTGCAGGAAAAGAGTAGAGACAACGTAAGAGCAACTTTAACAGGAAGAGTGGAAGGTGTTTGGTCCAGATGTCATTAGGTATTTGGGGGTATGCAGGTGTCAAGCAGAAAGGCAGTGGACTTTTTGGAAGATGAGACAATGCCTCTATTTCCTTTGGGCTAGTACCTTCAGTGGTCCGTCTCATCCTGTCTTCTGTTCTTTTACACTAGGGTGTCCAGAATGTCTTGTCTTTGGAGATACTACTCAAATGATCATGATAAAGTGATCTACCTACACTGAAAATGTTAAATATATTTACTAGGGATACACAGAATTTTTGGCCATCGAAGATGTTAAATATATTTACTAGGGATACACAGAGTTTTTTTTTAGCCAGTGCAGGCTTGTCTGAAAGCTCATTTTCACAATCTACCAGTACATTGAAAAGAGCTGCTGAAAGCTCTACTTATTGGGCACCCCCATTTTACACCAACAATCTCCATGTCCTTTTTCATGACTTGTACAAACCACCTTAGTCTTCCCTTCTTCACTGTTACTTTGTCACCCTCAAATAAAAGAATAAGATGCCAACATTTTCATTACGCATGATCAGGATGAAAACGGTAGGAAATGTTGGAAATCTTTGGGGATGTTGTGAAAAAGCTGTTTAATGTAACAGTAGAAAAGGCAAGGGATCAAGTGAGCTGGAGGTAGATCTTCATTTCCACTAATGGTCCGTGATGACCCCTACGAGATGTGATGGCTCCTAGGAGCAGCTGTAAGAAGATGAGCAAATAAATCCGGTGAGCTTGACAGCTAAAACAAGGACATTAGTCTAATTACAAAACCCAGTGGAGCTATGGCTGTGGCACAGTGTATCACATGTGTGCATGTGATGCACTGTGATCTTTTTTTTAGTGAAAAGAGGTACAAACAGAACATGTTAAATACATTTGAAAATCTTCTTGATCATCGTGTTGAATAAGTTGCATGGACTGTTCCAAGTGCCATGCCCTTCAACGTTCCCTGGAGCAGTGTCCTGCAGCACATTAACAGTACACAGTGTTGGACAACAGAGTGTTCAATGCCATTCATGTGTATGGCTTGGCTACATCATTATCACTATCTGTGCAAAGAAAGCCGTGTTTTAGCATGGTTCACTAGGCAGCGTGTCAGGCTTTGGCCTGCCCTTGTGGGTTACCACGTGGGAATTGAAGCACTGACACTTGAATGTCAACCCTTGTTCAAACGACATTGTAAATCCCCATGAATGCTATTCAAATGGGCTCATGAGTAAAGCGCTCAGAGGGAACGAGATCAGAGGAGCCTCTCCTTCTGGGGGAGACAACTGTTTTTATAAGGGGCTTTTTGCTGTTGACTGCAGTGTTTTCATTCATTCCTAATGAATCGGTGACTTCAATTCCACTTTAACCAATGTAGCCTTTGCATGGGTGTTGGTTTTGCATTCCCTCATTTTTGCACACAGTGGCAGTAATGGCATTGCTCGAGGCCTTTGGTGGTGGACATGCCAGTCGCTGCAGAGGAGGTCTTTCGGGCAAAAGTAGTTCTGCATGCTGGTGGCTTCTGGACTGTGTTTAGAACGTAAATTTCTCTGCAATAGCAACCACACAAGTTAAATGGCTTTATTTTTGACAAAACAATTTGGAGTATAAGTCGCACCAGCCATAAAATGCATAATGCATACATGGTGGTACAGGAGTAGCAGATACTGGTTCACAAGCCTAGGGTGCCCTACAAAAAACTTAAAGTATGCGGTACTAGGGTGCCCTACAAAAAACTTAAAGTTATATATTTTAACTTATAAGTTGCACCTGAGTATGCGGTGTGACTTATAGTCTGGGAAATACGGTATTATAAAAATAATTAAAGAGGATGTGTCATTGTCACAAACAAGGTTAAATTATTTTTTCCTTCCTCTGGTTTTCCCCCTGGCTTCGCCCCTCCTCTTGTGTTGCTCACTCACTGACATTGGTTTAAATGGTCATTGGAAAGCACTGATGTGTTTGGTGTTTTACAGTGCTTGTAATTGGTCTCACTTTCTTCTTGGGAACAGAAATACTGTGTGAGCTGGAAAACTAAACACCGATGTGTGTATTGGCAAGAATCTGGCGATACGATACATATCATGATACAGGCGCTACGATACGGTATATTGCGATGTACTGCTGTACTATAGGCATGACAACATATTGGGCTTTTTTAAAGCTTAAAATGTTTTATTTAATTGTAAAACTGTCAGCATAGTAGACACACAATGTTGTCCCATTAATATCAGGTTATTAACATTGGATCACTATCTTGTCTTAGATCCAAGCCTAATGAGGACAGCTTCTGGGTCCAGCTACCGTCTGCTTATTTAAACAGTTTTGTTCCTTTGTGTTAGTCATATGGACCATAGGAGGTGCTACATTTGAATTTTCCATCCATATTATTTTCAATATGGTACTTAAAAAACACAAACTTGCTGTGCTTTCTTCACAGTGATAAATCACAGTGAGTGAAAAATATGCCGGTTTACCATACAGTATTAGCTGCTGAAACGACATGCTAACCACATGCTGCAGTTTGTAAGCAGAATGATCATAATTAAACCCACCGTCTGTCATTTCATTTAGTAATAGCAGTAGTACACTGTGTTTTACAGCGTTATTTGTATGAGACCAGCAGGTAAGTATGGCCTCAGTGAATGGCTGCATGTTCAGTACACCAGATGCACAACAAGTAACTTTGTTTTATTTATAAAACCCATTATTTTTGGGAGTAATTACTGGCACAGATATCATGTAGCATTGGGCATTTTGTTTCATTTTTATTTAGCTAAATCATACCAGATAAGTCCTCTATCAATATTAACTGTAAGCTGACAATTCAAACGTTTTAATATTGGTTCCAATGAAGCTAGGTTTAAAAACATCCAGGTTAATATAACTATTCCTAACTATTTTAAAATCTATCTATCTATCTATCCCAATTTCTGTATTTTGATATGTCTTGCTCGAACCAGTTGTGAGTTCAGAATCAGATTTCATTCCTCAGCCCATATATTTACGTCTGCTGAGTTGTACATGCTAACCACATTGCCTTTGGCTTATTGTCACTTTTCCAGTACAAACTGTCTTAAAGGAACTGCGGTTCTCCGAGGGTGTGCTGTGATTTCTTGTCTTGTAAATGTAACGATAGCTGAAGTTCTTGGCAAGCAAACATCAGAACACACCCGCTCACAGCAAGAAAGCGAGTTTGAATCCAGTGAAAAACATACATATTTGAAGTATCTTCACCAGTGCTGCGTCCTGACAGACACAGACTTGTTAGTTATTATTCAGAGACGCATTGTAATAGGTTCACTTGCTGTTTCTAACAACACAGGGTTCAAACAGCTGAAGGCCAACTGTAAGGCTAAATACGAGGGAGATGCTCCACCAAGCTCTCAGATAGTCATATCTATTGGCTTCTGGTTTGAATGAAAAAAAAAAATTTACATACTGCTACTTAATTCCAAAGAGTGTTCTACAATTAAACCTTTCTTCAAAAGAATCCTGTTCATTTGTGAAGAAATACAAGCTATTACCTGATATTATTTATATTATTTATATCAGAAGAATTGAAACCTTGTGAAATACCAGGTGTTTCAAAAGAAACATATTAATTAAAGGAATAGAGAAATAATTATTTTGTAAAGATTTGAAGTGATTATCAAAGAGACTCATTCCTGACTTCTGAATGTCGTGGATTTCTTCAAGTGTAATGAGTATTAGAATATTAGACAGACAATTGACATTTAACTGTGTTTTTAAATTACACATTTATTTACGGTTTATTTAATACTGATCCTTTTTTCTATTTTAAGTCTGAAGATTCTTGACCATCAATCATCACATATACTGTCCCCCATATACCTGTACAGTACACCATGTGTGAGTTGTTCCCATAGGGATTTGAATTTCTTTTACTAAAGCTTCTATGTGTGTGTGTTTGTGTGTGTCTGTATGTGTGTGTGTGTGTTTAACTGAATTCAGTTAAGCTTCTGTGCAGCTTACACATCGTCTGTGTGTGCCTGACTGGTCTGTGGAACTGAAAATTTGTTTTGTATCCAACTAATTAACCACTTGTTCCATCGCATAAATTCTCACTGAATTAACTCAATATTTTATTTCTTTTGAGGTCAGAAAGCTATTTTTTGGCTCCAGCTTCCGTTCACTCTTCTCTCCTTTCCCCAGTCTGTACACAGGATGTCATATTTCAAGGGCCAAAATGGAGGACAGAGCCAACCGGCCTAATTTTACCAATCAACTCCCCAGACAAGGAGGCTATAATCACGTGTGAGGCCGAGGGTACCCCTCCCCCTCAGTACAGGTACAGTACCACGTTCACGTCTGTTCTCCTCAGCTGTGTGCACTTGGTAAAGAAGCAAAAAGTATGGTTGCTGCTTCTGTGGAAATGTAGGACTAATGATGTTGATGCAGTTGTCTTGTTAAAGGGTGTCTTTTTGGGGGCTTCAAAGAGCTGCTGCCTAATTGAGTGTCTTCTGTGAGAAAATGTTATCTATTCTCAGCACATTCCACGATGTAGAGATAGAGTCAGGGAGCCACTAATGTGCTTGATGAATATGCCAACACCTTGTACACGAGAGAGGTTAACTTTATTAATGATAAGAATTAAGTCACTGTGCAGATGAAACAGATGATTTTTATTATAGTGTGCAGCTTAAGAAATCATTAGCGGAGAAAAGGAGATTCCAGCTCCTCATTTGCACCACAGATCCTTTGATATCTTCACAGCAATTCCCTGGAGCGGCTGGAGGCCCGCCTGAAAATGGCAGCTGGTTGTGTGTTTTTTATGGTAGATTGTGTTTCGGAGCTTGGTCAGCACCATATAGATGCACAGCAAGCAGGAGGGAGAGAGAGGCAATAACCTTGTGAGTGACATTCTGCTAAACGCTAACATTTCCCATAATGTTCCCGCACTGAAAACAAGGGAGAGAGACCCAGCAGCAGGGCGTATCATTATACTTGTTGTGCAATCTAAGCTATCTAAGTGCGAGGACAATACAGTTGCATGGATTACATCACCGACAACCTATATCCAGTTGACATTTATATGTCACGTTGAAGAGCTTGCCATCAAAGTGATCATTAATGTTTGTTCATTAATGTGTTTTGGAGAAAGCAGGTATGAACTCTGTAAATCAGTGCTGTAGCTCTAGCACAAAAATAATTTGTACACATAGCAGCTGGTGGGGACTAAGACAAAGTAACTCCACACCCACTAAGATCTGTGGTCTTCTACAAAAACATATTTTTCCCTGAAAAGCTCCAAGGAGCTGCTGCTTTACTGCTGCCTCGTTTCTCCATTTTTCTATATTGCAAAAAAGGTACATTCAAATGAATGATTCAAAACTTGAAGCCAGTAAATAACACATTCAAAATCACTGGTGAAAACATTTTTTATGTAATTTAAAATGGCAGATTTATTCCAGGAAACATTCCAAATCTTTGATTTAAAGATGTTCATTTCAAGCTTTTTTTTTGAAGAAGGAGCTCACAGAAAAGTTCAATACTGGGGAATGTAGATGAAGTGGTCTTAGCAGATCCACAGTAGATGAAAGACATGTGCGATTACTTCCTTTGAAATCAGATGTCCAGCAGTGCCATCAGCTCTGGGCAGGCAAAAACCAGTGGGACATCAGTCAGGGTAAAACCAAAAATAGTGTCAGTGAATATTAAAAATATTAGTGGTTCACCAAAATTAAGCAAACTGTATTCTTCATTTATTCAAAGACAATTTAATTCTTAAAGTCACGTTGGTCAAAAGTGTGATTGTTTTATTACTAGAAATAAAATAAGGAAACAAAAACTAAAAAAAAACAACTAATGTTTAAACAGAATTGGTCGTTTGAATAAAATTTTCCTAATTGGCTTCTTCCATATTTCTAATGCTGATTGTCCTTGACTGTTTTTTTCTTGGGGCAAGGAGAGGACTTTGTCCCACTGATAAGATAGAAACCATACATTCATAATCATTCATTTCACTAACGCTGTAATTAGAACGTCAGAATGACCTGAGCCCATGGGAGAAAAAAAGCCAGTAGGAGGTTGTCACGCTTTCTGCAAACCATGGACGAGCCCACAACCAGCACATGAACTGAGTTTGTTTAATTAGATGTGCCAATAGAAAGCATATTACTTTCAGAGCTGCACGCTTAAGTATCTAAATTACTGCAGGCATTGGAGCAAAAATAAAATCCATAGTTGGTTTAGTACTACGTCTGTGATGATAACTCAGCGATATATATTGGCAAACAAATTTTTGCCGATAACCAATATTCTTGTCCACATTATTTTGAGAACAAATTTACCACTGATGTAAAAATATATATAATAAGGGCTGTTGGAGGTTGTGACACATTTACGATGAAGCAACTACACTTGCTGTGAGCAACTACACCATTTTTCCATGATCCATTTGTATTTACTTTGTCGACCAAACACCTCTGTGAGTGTTGACTGTTGATGAAGGCTGTTCAACTCAAGGTGTAGGTTTTTTTCCCCCACCTGGGAAAACTGGGTCAGGAGGTTATGTTTTTATCTTGTATGGGTAAGTGGCCTTTTTTGTTGCCACCAGTTGTTGGCTAAATACAATTGGTCATCAGGGTTGTTTCATAGCAAAATTGTCCACTAGAAACTAAACTTTCTATTTTTCTCACCTACTGTTCTTATGGGTCTCTTTCTCCATAACAATACAATCCATACGATAAAAACAAATTAAATGCATAAAGAAGTAATGTTTTTCCACAAAAGATGGAGTTTTTTTTTACTGTTGTGTGCAGTTATTTTTTAAAAAGATCCGTTACTATATATTCCCAGTGGCTTTATACCGAGTTACTTCAGTCTAAAACAGTGAACAACTGAGAATCTCATCAGATGTTAATCAAACAGGAATAAACAGCTGATTGACTCCGCACTAGAAAATAGAACAGTGTGAAAGGGTTGCTCTTTGCAGCAGCAGCAGGAGGTGAACTGAAGATCGATTTAAAAACAAATGTCAGCATGTACTCAAACGATCAAAAGGATTAAGAAACACACTTGCCATTAATAGAATTATTGTGGCGGCCAAGTGTGGTTTTAATTTGGACTACCATGAAGCTCAGCTGCCAAGAGGAACAAAACATGACTGTGGCAATGCCAAAATGGTGATAATGGGTTTTTAAAAAAAAATTTCAAAAAGAAAAAACTAAAAAAAAAAAAAAAAAATACAAACCTCAATACCTTCTGATCAGATGATAATTCTAACGGCAAAGTTGATGCAAAGAGAACCCTTAGATGTAGTGCATTTGAGTCAGAACGGAAGATTGGTAGATACACAGCTGTGACATAGTGTCTGTCAAATCTACATTTCCGTATTTTCACACATTCATTCACACAAAGCAGAAGCAGCGGACGTGTTTTGGTTATCGGCAGTTTATACCTTCACTCCGTCTTTCTCTTGCCCACTCGCCAACACTGAGAGAACAAGAATCTTGACAGTTCTTCAGTTGACAAATAGGTCACCCCGGCACCGGTGCACACTGCAGCATTCGGCGCTGTTCTTTATGAATACACCTGTCACTGTGTTTACTATGAATCTGCCGTAACACAAGATCAAGGGCATAGCAGTGATTGGATAGAGGGGTATAAAAAAAAGAGATCTAGTCGGTGTCTGCTATCGTGTGATGTGACTTCAGGCTGATGTATGACTTCACCTTTGTTCTCTGTAATGGCTCCAGAACTCGGGTGAAGGGTTGGAGTAGGACTCTGTGTGTGTTTCTGCGTGACCAGGAGAACAAACAAACTCGTAGAAAGTTGGAGAACGACAGTTTGGCAGATGGTAAAATTTGCTTATGGCTTAGAGCCCGAAAACAAATCAAGACGAAAAAGGCAGTTTGAAACGTGGATGATCGTCATCTCTCAATGGTTTCTTCTTCTTTTATAGAGAGTGGAGTAAAAGTACTGTCCGAAAAAGCATGTTTAAAAATTTTAATGGGTTGTACATAAACAATTTATGGACTTTGTTTTATTCTTATTGTAGATGAATATATATATAGACTACCCTTAAACTTTCTTTACCTTAAATATCAGTGTCTAACGAACAGTGATTCATTTTGAAATTATTATCTTAGATTTTCAATTTCTGTCATAGGTATTCACATTTTGACATTAACTTACACTAATGGTGAGAAAATACAAAAGTCTAAAGGGACAACTTATTACTCATGATGGGGAAAAATGCAATTCATGTAACCAAAATCTTTGCACGACAATTTTTAAAAATTACACCTGGGTCTTGTGTTTTGCTGTAGGCAAGCAAGTTCTCCCAGTTGGACTGATGTGATATCAGACAATCTGGAAACAGACACGATTACACCTGGGTCTTGTGTTTTGCTGTGGAAAACAGACACTTTAAAGCTTAGCTAAAGTCGAAATAACATGAAAGAGAGGGGTGTGCATTCAAAATAGCTGGTCTAATGCATAGCCCAAGCATGGTTGTGGTGCTTGTGTGCGGGGTACACGCTGGACAGTTTACCAGTCTATCTATAGGTCCAAATACAGAGAGAAACAAAAGTTCACACATCCATACCTGCGGTCAACCTGATCCCTTCACTGTCCCTGATGCAAACGAAGAAAGTTAAGCCATCTGGGCTGAAAGCTATTTGTTAAGTAATCAGTGTATTCAGAGCTATTTTATCCTTTACAGCTGATTAGTGTTTATTTGTTGATATAGTATTGCACGGAGATGAAAGATCCCACAGCAGCACATGAATTCCTAAACTAAATAAGCAATACTTAATTACAAAGCAACAGCAGCAGAGTGCTTAGCGTAATGGTTGAAAGGACCCTGGTCAGCAGTTGAATTTATATTATCATCTCCGTGTAACACAGGTGTGTGTATGTGCACACACACCACCGAAATGAACAGTATGTGGTCTGCGCGGTGCCTCTGTGGGTGTCTGGCCTCAAGGAATAGCAGGTGAGCCAGTGCTGCTGCAGTACAATCCCCAGTCTTTTTGATGGAGAGACCTCATGCAAAATTGATGTGAACCTCAAGGTCACGGGGAGTTTATTGAGAGCATGCTAAGATCAGCATAAGCCCGCAGCACACAGCGGCAAATGGGGATGCTCTGCTGGACTCTGTCAGACTCACTCACGTAAGCTGCTCCTGGGTCTGATGTGCTTTAAGATTCAGAGTTTTAGGTCGGGCTGCTCCAACATTAAGACCTCTGCTCTGCCTGTCTCAGCTGTTTTACTGAAGCAGGTTGAAAAGGAGTAGCAATTTCAGTGCAGACGCATACTTTTATTTGTGATTAACAGTAAAACAGCAACATTAAAAAGTAATTTATACATAGGTTTAAGGAATATTAGAAGTTCAGGGTGCACTGTTTACATGAACGTACAGTGGAGTTTACCTCAATGTGATGAGATAAAGGGTGGAGAAAAGTGATTGGTACTGTTTTAATTTTTCTGTTTACTTAGCCCATAGATCTGGCAACTTATTGGTGGAGAATCTTTCCCTTTCTTATCCGATGTTGATTTGACTCACTGTATACGATGAAGATAGTTGTTGTCCTGGTTCATTGAGTCATTCAGTGTGCCATTGTGGTGTGACGTGTCATGATATTCCAAACACTGTAGCTGACGCAGTTCCAGCCTACGCACTCCACACTAGGGGTGACATTTTACCATTTCTTATGGCACCAGGGTGAGGTGACCACTCTTTGTTTTGCTAGTGGCTTGGATATATCAGAGTGGAAATCTTTAGAACTGTTAAATAGACTGAGAAATTGGAAGAAATCAATCTCAAAGTCTGCCAGCTGCTATTTGTTCAGGTGAGTCTTAAAGTGAATGACTAGTGTTACATGAAAATACGTGAATAAAATGTTGTTGACAGCAACTGTAATAATAAGGAATTCATGAACGTGAACGTCTACACAGATCAGCTGGCACAGCCCTTTTATTATCCTAAACTGGTTGATGCACCTCTAATTCCTCACAGTTCTGAGAAAAAACTGCATTTATTTGTTAATGTTAAGGAAATGTTTATTTACGTTGTGTGAAAAAAAACAATACACTCTGAACCACCAAAACATTTTTCATATTGCGCATCCCCTAGTGGTAGCTCACACACCCCCAGGGGTGCGTGTATCACTCTTGGGGAATCCGCCGTTCTAAGTCCCTTGTTTTAATATTGACTTGTTGGTTGCAGTGGAATAGTGAGTCAATTTCTTTGTATCCTTAAAATTCACAATCACATTCTCAGGATCAGAGATCCACAAAGAGAAGTCCAGAGTGTCAGGGACCTCACAGTTATCTCAGGTCTGACTCGCTCTGGCCTGTGTGTGCAGCCAGTATGGCCATGCAGCTGTGTTTTACTGTGTTGGCACTGCTTTAATGTTTTACTGTTTGCTACTAAAATTTGCAGCGTGTCTAGACTTCACACGACCCTCTTCTGTTTAAGCTCCATGTACATTGCCTAGACCGTTTGTGATAATTACTGTATTGATTTACTGTAAGAGGAATTAAATTAAACTCCACAATTCCAGCCTTGATGAATACTTTATACTTTGCCCTTTTAAACCGTAGATACCAGTGCTTCTGACATGAGTGCTGCTTCTGCTGCTTTCATCTCCGTCAGTATTCATCTCTACTAAAATCTTTGAAGCAGGAGAAGCTAGGAGCAACAGGGAAGCAGGCGGCTGAGGTGAAAAGTGCAGATAATTTACTTTTAAACACATTGAAACCATCCTCTCTTGTCAGCGTTCCAGTCAAACACACAGCGCCTCCTTTTGCATCATTGTTACCGAGCAAGAAAAAAAACACATTAAAAAATCCAACTTCTTCACATGCACTGCAGATGAATGTTACATCTGAATCTCTCACATCTTTGAAAAGTTAAAATAAAGAAAATTCTCACCAACAAAAGAACTGTGTCATAGAACAGTTTGTTTTTCCACAGTTATGTTGTTAACTTTTTATTTATTTACATGTTATTCAAACCTATTCCGTGAATAAACACTTCTCTACGTAATACAACATGCATAACTTATATTTGCAAGAATGATTTAATTATAAATTCCATATTAGTATCTTATTTTCAATGTCACTGTGTTATTTAACTTTAACTATTTCAGTCTGTCTACATCAGGCTTCAGTCTGCATCTAACACTGCCTTGTGAACGTACTCCACCATCACGGAGCATGAAGACAGAAAAATAGTCCTATGACATTGGATCTGTATTGGAGAAAGGCTTAGGTTCAATCCCCTCATTCCCTTCTGTACATCCAGTCTTTCATACTTGGGGGTTGAGGAGAAGCAGGAAGGAAGGGATTGGAAATGCAGGAAACTCTTTAATCACAGACCATGTGTAATTTAAAATGACCTACATACTTGTGAGCTTTGTTTTGACAACGGGTCTACAAGTGATATTATCACAGGAACAGTGACAGAATCAGTCAGATTAAGGGAGTGGCATCGAGAAGACTGTCAGATAAATAATGCAGGGCTACAAGATGAAACACTGCTTTGTCTGTTCTACTCCGTCAGACGGGATACGAGGACAACCCCAGCTGTCTTCAGGACTGCGCCAGGCATCATTCTTACTGCCTATTAGTTTTCCTGGATGTACAAGGAAAAATCATATTGATTTTCTTCCCCTTTCTTATCATCGAAATTGTCATTTCATGGCCTTATGGCAAAGGCACTGCACGCAGCATACCAATAACCTTCAGTTTTTCCAGTTTTCCTACATCACTGTTATTTCCTCAGATAAAGTTAAGGATTGCCATCTGCTGCCAAAGGTAAACTCTCTTCTTATGCGGCTAATGTCGCCATCAGTTGGACAGCTTCCAGAGACATAAAGGTGCCTTCATTGGAGAACATTGCAAAGTGTTTCAGATTTGTCGGTAACTGTGATTAATAGCTGTCACTTCCTGAACTCAGCGTGCCTCTACGACAACCTGTGACCTTTCCGAGAGGGAAGTGCTCCGTAGACAAGACAATGAGAAGGTGTCTGCTGTGGAAAGTTTATTTATATATAATTTGATTAGAATATAAAAATAATATAATAAATCAAAAATAAAAGGTCACAATATTGGTGTAAATGAATCCAGAAAAAAAAATTGATTTAATCAATTCATGTTTTAATTCCACATGAATTAACAGTATGTAGTTTTATTCACATACATTATATTAACAAGTACTTTACTTGTTTAAGTAAAGTTTTTAAGTACGCCAACTTTTGCAAATACCTAAATGCACCGAAATGAGACAAAAAGGGTTAAGATAAAAAAAACAAAAAGACATGCACCAAAAAAAACAGAAAAAGTGTTCCCATACAAACCAGGAAGTGAAAGCCACAGCTTGACTTCAGGTCTAATTGCTTGTATTACAAAGAAAGGCAGTGTTTCGGCTCAAGGCTACGCAACGATGTCATTGTTGCTAAGCAAAAATCCTCCTATCAATTTTTTGTTGTTTGGTCTCGAACTCTCATGAAAGTCATGATGATGTTCAGTGGTGGAGTTCACGCCTGTGGTTTTCTCAGATAAACACAGGTGTTGTTACTTTTATCGAATAAAGAAGCTAACACTGCACCTCTATAGTGACATGGTGTGCATGAGCAGCTTATGATGAGAGAATCTGTGTGTACCCTACGGGCAAAAATGACTTGCCTATGAGCAGCTGACAGGATAACTCCAACACTTTGTGCTGATGGTGGAACTGTGAGTCACTTCATCACACCACCTGACCTGTCAACACGTGTCAATCAGTCAGCAGTAGCACTCAGACCCTGTGAAAATATATTTTTTATTTATTTCATTTTATCATTATAATTACACATGGACATCTGATAACAGACAGGCAATCCAGATTATCAACACCTACAGTTGGAGTGAAAATGTTTACCATCCTGAGGACAACATGAGCTGTGAGTGTTCATATGTTAATGAAACAGAAAAATAGAAACTGTCAGTGGTGTGAAACATACATGAATTCTAATGCAAGAAGTTGGAGTGCTACATACTGCTATGACAACAATAAAAATATAAAACATAATTTATTGTTAGTTCACTTTCTAGTTTTAAAATAAAAAATAACTTTTAAAGGATTTACTTTAATATTAAAAAAAAAGAACACACAGCACACGGTCTGACATGGTATGGAAACTTATTGAATGTGAAAATCATGAATCAGGAACTACCTCATCGTCCACTGCTGGGGCCGCGGTGGTGCAGTGATAGGGTTCTTGTAGTTCATAAAAAAACCGCGGTGGTGCAGTGATAGGGTTCTTGTCAGCCATGCAGCAGCTCTAGGTTTGAAGTCCAGACTGCAAATGTAATAAATAATGTCATAATTTTATCTAAACTAGGTTCTATGTTACAATTAGTTCATGTTTAACAAACAGGATTCTGTTTGTCATTAGTAATGGTTCCATTGTGTAGCAGTTAGCACTCCTGCCTTGCCAGCACAGTTCAATTCCCATAGGAACCTCATACTTGGCGCCTCCGAAGGGCAGCATGTTGCAACAATTTTGCTCACTGTGAGATCAATAAAGTTCATAAAAAAAACCCAAAATAAACAAGAAATGATGAAAGCATTATCTACTATTACGAAATTGCAGATTTGTGTTTTTATTTCATTTTTTGGTACAAAGCTACTTTGAAGTATACTATAGTTTCACTACTTTTTTGCTGTTCTAACTTTATTTCCAGTCTTTAGATCAGACTCTAGGTCTACTCACTTTTAATTAGTTTCTTGTTGGGGTGGTACTGCTCTAATTAATAAGTAGCAGATATGCTGTTTTTACAGTGCTCTGTATAAACACGACTCCTAATTTTCTCCGCTCATATCCGAACAAAAACACTCGCTCTATGACCGGAAACTAATCAGCAAAAGACACAATTAGAGACACTTAGCATCGTATTTCACATCTCACGTTAGCATTCCTGTCGGACCTAGGACTAATGAAATGTGTTTGTGTTTCATTTAACATTTAACATCATTTAACAGATTACACAGTGAATACAAAACAAATCTAAGTGTAGAAAACAATCAGGAATCAAGCACAGCTGCTTTTAAAAGTCAACGTCGGTATTTTTACTTTCATACTTGCTGTTAAAGAATGAAAGAAAATCACCAATCATCAATCTCACTGGGTGCTTAACTTTGACTCACGGTTTATCCTCCCAGTGTAAGGCACACAGACCAATCAAATTGATTTATTTTAAAAACCCTGCAAGTGTGCATCTCCGGGGGACTCGGCCACTGATTGTGTTTGTGTTTTTTTCAGATGGTCACTAAACGGCACAGTCATTGATCTGGGGAATGACTACCGGCGTCACTTGTCTGGAGGAAGTCTAATCATTACCAAACTGGACAAGGACCAAGACAGTGGGCTGTACCAGTGCACGGCCTTCAACACATGGGGCTCCATTATCAGCCGCAAAGCCAGCCTCCAATTTGCATGTAAGTGCTCCTGTAATTACTAACACCGCTCTCATACACTCGGGACACGGTGACATCTCTATGTATCGGCTCGGTCTCAGCATTATCTGTGTAATGTGCTTGTCGACCGGGACTTTTTTATTTATTACTTTTAGTTCTCACGTAAATTGCTTTAGAATAGATTTCTTAAGGGGGAAATGGTAATCTAATGAAATGTCAGTAGCACACAATGTGCAGCTTCAGAGTGCTGCACAACTCCATTGATTCTCATCAGTGGCTCCACTCTGACAGCAACTGTGGCAGGATTAAATGGTCTCCCAGGTTCTCTGCTGAAAACGTAGAAGTGGACGGACACAAATAATAAGAAAGATGTGTTTGTTCCTTGATAGGCAGACGCTTCTTTTGTTGCACAGCATGTACAACAGAATGTGAGCAGAATCATGGCCGCCTGCCTTTTTTTGTGGGCAGGCATTAAAGGGAAAGCTTCTCACAGATAGATGTGAGTTGGGACTCGCAGACTGTAGTGACACCACTTGTCTCTTCATCAGGCCCTCTGACTATTGATTACATTCAAACGAATAGAGAACCTTTCACTTCCTCTCAGGAGATGCGGCTGCCATTATCCACATAGCTCAGTAATGAATCTCATTTGAGAGGACCGAATGACGCGCGGTGCTGCTTGACATTTATTGTCTTGCCTAATGCACACTAAAGGAAGATCTAGAAGATCAGCACAGCTGATACTGAGTTTTCGTGTTTAATGAGGCCTCTGCCCCAAGAGAAAAGTGGCTTGCCTTTTTGCTTTTCCTCTGCTTTCCTCAACAATTCAGCGTCCTGAATCAGAAAGGTTAAAACAGTCTTTTACTAGTCCTCTAGTAGCACCTCAGTCGTTTTCACGTTGTTCACATTTTTGTGTTGTGGTAAAAGAGAGGCAAAAACGTCACCTCAGGAATGGTATTAGGTGAGGTTAAAGGGACATCAGACTGCCCAGAGAAAAACATTAAAAAGGGAGGGTAAAAATCTGAGCCCAATGGAAACGTACGATTTTGTGGGTCGTCTGACAGACTGTACCTGGGCTGGTAGCTTATTTGGTTTCCGAAGGAACCTCTCATGAGAACAGTGGTGAAATGTAAGTGTTTTGTTTTAATGTTGAGAATATCAAGCAGCAACTTTTCTTTCATCTTTTCTTTGAGATAAATAGTTTTCTTTCAAAGAAACACAAAACCAATTGGGAACATTCAAAATGGTAAATTAAGGAACTCAGTCTATAATGTAGATGTTACAACAAGCAGACGCTTATCAACTATACACCTGGCAACCGTGGTGATGGCGATGGTGTGATTTCTCAATATTCTTTTCCAAGTGATATGTCACTAATTTGCACTGTTTACACTAAACGCTGCAGTGAGATACACACCTTCATTGTTTGTGAATATCCGTGACTGATGGTGTGTAAATAAAAGTAAAATTATTTTAGTGTTTTAATGTATCTACCAGTACAGAGACCATTGCTGACTGGAGGGTTTTGGTTTCATGTCTGTTTCCCAGGCCTTTTACATTTGTAGGACACACTGACACCGTAAAGCTGGAGATGATAAATCACAGCATTGGACGAGATGTAGTTTTAGTTGCTGAAGAACCTCACAGGAGAGTAGAGCTCATTAAATACAACATCTTTATGATATTTAATAAGCTACGTTTGGTCTCAACTTGAGAGGTTTTTATGTATCACAGCAAGTCGGAGTTTTTCCCCCAAACTAAGTGATGGGTCAAATTACTGCGTGCCTTACAGGCGAGGTGGCAAAATCTGTCAACCTTCCCTGCAGTTACCTGTGGCTCTGTGCTGGTTTTCCTGCGTTTATACCTTTGTTTCCTGAAGTACGGACCACCATGTTCATGTTTTTTTCACTTCTCCCACTTTCATCACTGTTGAATCTTGCTGCAGCGGACTGCTGTATCCAGTGTTAAAAGTCTGATACACCCAGTGTGTTCAGTCTGCCCAGCATGAACCAGCAGACACATAGTTGGCAATTAACATTAAAGAAGCAGGGATTTATCAAAGAGATGGTTGATGTGCAAAAACAGAGACTGGAATAAAAAACAGACCACTGTCGCAGAGCAACTCTCTGAAAATTACATTTTTCACTGTGGATGTTTATTATTTTCCTCAACACTGGGTAAAAACTTTTTCATGTCCTAATTGGTGCCCCTATTTACGGCATGTTAAACTGTGCATTTGGGCTTAGGTATCCGTTTGATGAGCTGCAGTTGTTTGTTTTTTTTTTTTTTTTTTCGTTTTAATTTATAATATTTTTATATAGGTTGTACTGATATTTAAAAATGAATTTAGTCAATACCTGAACATGTCAATACCTGAAATGTTTCAAGAACCGCAAAACTCCCAAACCAGTGCTCGCCAGACTCTGAAAGAAAAACCAAACGTCCTTGTTCTTTAGGAGTGAGTATCGACCTTTCAATGTATCTTGAACTTTGAACTCTGAATCAAATATTTTGCCAGAAATTGTCTTGTAGTGGCGCCACCGCCCAGACCTATCAACTTCAATCTGTAACGGTCACCTCCAGTAGTCCCTGGGCTCAGTTTGGCCTCCAGCTTGATGTGTTACAGTGTGTGGTCAGTTCACTCTAGCAAAGGCTTTGACCCTCCTGCACTGAAGTCAGAGAGGAAGAAAAGACGACAGGGTCTAGTTGGACCAGCTGCTAAACACATTCTCTGGACCAAACTGTATTCTCTAAAATCTAAATAATCAATAAAACATTCTATCTAATAACATACTCCTAATAACTCACGATTAAATCCTCTGCTAATTCCAACAATTTGAAGTGCGACCATGCTCATTTTGTAATTGTCCAATCATGTAAGTCTTGCTCTCCATATTTGTAACTGTCTTTAGAAAACTGGCCGTGTATTTATTGGAGCTGTCTGATGGGATCAGAAGGACACTGCCTTTGCTTGTATTTTCAGTCAAACATCTCTTGTGGCCTGCTCGGTGTCCTTCCGTGACTTGGCTCTGTTCGAGTCCTCGGCGGTCATCAGAGACCCGCTCATTAATCTTACCAACACTCTGTCCCACTTCTCTCCATAATCTTCCCTCTCCTAATTTCCCTTATCGGTCACACTGACTTTCTTTTGTTTGTGTTTGGAAGGCTCACTGCAGGCTCTTAGCCAGAGGTTGCAGACAGAGTGGTGAGCTGACTGCGGCAGCTTACATCCATCAGTCGTGAAGCCAGGGATGGTTTATCATTCCAGGTTAATTTTTTTTCCCCTGCCAGCAACTATTCATTCATTTGCAGTGGATAGATTGTGCAGAGAGTATTGATGGTGGAGCTAATGCTTTTAAGTGCAAGATTACAACACATTTAATAATGATGTTGCTTATAGCCACTGGCAAAGCTCGCTGTCATTTATCATGCACCAACCACCTTTGTTGGGTTCCCATGGTCACCCCTCCTCTCTCTCAGTCACTCACACTCACACAAATGTTCATTGTATCCTATTTTCCCCTCATCTCTTTCTTGTGTTAAGTGTTATGTTGCACGTCCATCTATTTTCTCACCAGAATTGATGTCTTTGAATGTGTCACTGATGCTGTAACTAGACAGTATTTAATGTCCTATGTCTCTATTTTTCTGAACTACCTAACTAAAATTAGAAATGGCTCAAAACTTTTTTATATCCGACACTGATACTGCAACTTGAAGTATCTGCCGATTCCAGTATCAATCCGATACCTTGCAAAGTTAAATTGAGCATTTAGGCTTAAGTATTGGAATTGGACAGTCTATAGGTGTTTTTTTTTATATTCGATCCTGGAATTCTGGCCAACACTGGACCTGAGTATGGATCAAGCCATCACTAGCTAATATATATTAAATATATGTAGCACTGGTCTGGTGTTCAGCTGCGGATGAACTGTTGGTATTTACTTTATTTCTCTTTTCTTTCTTGACTCATCAGACCTTGATAACTTCAAAACTCAAACAACGAGGAGTGCGGTGAATGTCCGTGAAGGCCAAGGAGTCGTTCTCTTATGCGGACTGCCTGCACATTCTGGAGGTAAGTTTACCAAATGCAGTTCCACAATACCAGCTGAACGCTAATCCCCTTGGGGAGGAGAAACCACGGGCTAGATCAGAAAAAGCATGCTCTTCATGGCACTGAAGTTTGACACGATTTGGTTAACCCATCAAAGCAAAGCAGCTGACGATGGTGACAGTTAACTTGTACAGTTCAGGACAAGTGGCAGCCTCTACTTTGAAAACCATTATCCTATGTATAGACAGGGAGAAGTCTAACTGCTGTGACAGAAATTAGGACTGATTTATTGTTGATGCATTCTTATGTGTAACATGGAAATATTAGGAATTTGGGCTGTCCAAAAAAAAGGGTGCAAGAAGTGCAGAAGTTTGCTTTCACAAAGTGTAACCTGCTTCGAGCTCGACCATCCAGATGCTGACTGGAACCTCAAATCTATAAAAGTACACATTTTTAGAGTGTGCTTGAGAAATTCCGCAGGGATGACCGGGTAAGAATTTTATAAATGAGAGGCCACAAATAGGAAATAAAGATGCAGGCTGCTAACTCCCAACTCTCTGCACAAAACTGTGAACATATGGACAATGGCTGCCGCCTAGCTCGTCCCTTTCTTAATACTCTAACTTCACGATAGAACGAACAATTTCCTTCACAAGAGCCTTGTTTGTAGAACAGCGCATTGTGCAGCTGGTCTCTGAGATAATGCTTCAAAGTGCACTGTGTGAAATGCAGTTTGACAGCCTTCTTTGCCAACATAGGCTCATTCGGGGCTGGCTGGCTGCTGAAACTGTAGCACTACTGTTTTTTCTCTTACTTTCTGCAGTGCATGAAGGCAAAGCCCCGTGAACACAACTCTCACTGTCTTTTTTTTTTTTTTTACATCACTGCCTATTTTATAATCACTGCATTAATGCTTGTACAAATGTACAATGTACACATGATTACAAGGTGTGCCTGTCAACACAAAGAATGCCAGTGTGTTCATCTTTTATCACCAGATTTTTAGAAATCCTAAATGATATGGTCAGAAGCTTAAACAAGTAATATGCTTAATGGTCATGAATAAATGTGGTGTTGCTGTTGCCTTGGGAAGATTAATGCAAGTAGACAGTCTACAAGAAAATATAAGAAAGTAAGCATATGAAAAAGTGAAATAACAGATGCTACAACATGCACTTGGGAATTACTTGAAATAAGAACATTTTTGGGTCAGCGAGCATATGAGGTGGTGGAAAGAAGAAGAAAGCAATCTCAGGTTTTTAAATTGGCCTGGACTATGAAGAATTTTTTTTTAATCCATAATTTAAAAAAATGACAGTATGACAAGTAAGGAAGTTTATATGCTGAAAAGTAATTAATTTTAAAGAAGTCACCACTCAAACCGAGTATTTCCTGTTTGTATACATTATCATAATTAAACCATAATAAATTGACCTTTAAAGTGCACTGTGCACATTGACCCATGCCACTGACAAATCATACACCACATATATTTTTTTCACTGTAGTTTGGGACTGATAGATCGTTTCTTGAGTTAAACTCTTCTTTAACATCGAAGAACAAAAAGGAAACGCCAACTGTGAATTACTGTAATCTGAGAAAACACCAGTATTAGATCAGGATTTAGGGTTGGCTGAGAATCAACGATAAAATAACTTGACCATGAGCCATAAAGTATGTTAAGGGCGTTGTTAATTAATTCTTCTTAAGTCAACAATCCCCAGTGTTTTGAGTCTGCACTATTGTTTAGGCAGTAAGAAAGAGCAATAAAAAGCAGAGGCTCCCAAATCTCTGAAGCAACAAGAGAGAAACTGTTCCGCTGGTATCTACCATTTGACTATTTCAAGTAATACATACAGTATTATACTACCAACAATGAGCAAGCATTACAACAGTGGTCTCAAACTCCTGGCTTGGGGGTCCCTTTTGGCCCACCGAACCCTCCCACCTGTCTTCCTATGTCAATAATAATTCATTGTTTTTTTGTTTTTTTCAGTTGATAAAATGCCCCAGTTGGTTACCTACGAATAAGAGAAAAAAACCACTGACTGTTTTAAACTACAATATTATACGGTAATTTTTTTTAGTCTTGACTGTGGCTTGTAGAATGCATCAGGAGCATCAGGATTTTTTTCAGGCTGATCTGAGACTAGCTCGCAGTCTGACCTGAACCCTCCACAAAGACATGCTTGGTGTTCAGATGATACTTTAAGCTGAAGCTGCATTCTTTTTCTTTTTTTTTTCCAGCAGTGTGAAAATAATGCGTGTATCGTTTGTGAATTAGACTAACGATAAGTGGACGGCAGGTGAAACGAATGGATTTACACTGCGTAGTTGAAAGTGATAATTATGACCCCCTTAGTGTGGGTGAAAAGGTGGGACTGTGGGCTCTTGTATCTATACTTGTCTAAGCAGCCACTTACAAGTCCCCACAAGTATTGGTATAATTCATAACTGTTCCATTCTGATCACAGAGTTCTTACATCACTCTTTCGAGTGACTTGAGGTTCTGAATTAAGTAAATTTACAGTGCAAAGTCAAATTCAATAAAAAAAATTGGAAAATACTATAAGCAAACTCCAAGCAAAAAAAAAAAAGATGAGATGAGTGCCTTGATAAAAATGTAATATTCTTTTCCTCACAGAACTGACGTTTGCATGGATCTTCAATGAACTCCCTTACTATGTCCAACAAGACAGCCGTCGTTTCATCTCTCAAGAGACAGGGAGTCTGTACATCGCCAAGGTGGAGCCCTCTGATGTTGGAAACTACACCTGTGTGGTGAATAACACCATCTCAAAGGAGAAGGTGCTTAGTTCCCCAACGCCCCTGGTTAGGCGTGATGGTAGGTAGCTTTTTTCTAAATAACTACATCAAAAATTTAAATGAGCCTTCAATGGTTTAAGCATTAGGTGAGGTCCAACATAGGAAGGTCTTAACGACATGATTACAGCAGTTTGAGCTGTAATACTTTTTTAGTTTTTATTTTCTGGTAAAAAGATACTGGAAGTAAAACATCTTGGAGTTTCTCAATTTGCAGGGTCATTTGTGAAAAAAACAAAACAAGCAACAGTGGGTTGTGATTGGCAGTTGCACAAATTATAAAATATTTGCTTTTGGAAACAAGTAGCACATGCTCTAGACTGGCCTGCCTGCTGTCCAGATGCCTTTTAAATTCTTTGGAGATTCCGAAACAGACATTGACCACACACTGTTGAGCAAAGCTTAAGGTACAGCACACAAAAAATTACAGCAGTAGAAAAAAGTGCAAAAATTCAGACGCTTGGCTTGTTCATTTTGTATTTGGCACATTTCACTCCCCAAAGATGTCTTTGACCCTTTTTAGTGATGGGAATATAAATAAAGTCATAAATGAAGTCACTTTGCCCCGGGTGATATCTCTGTGAAGTAGGACTTAACCCTGATGTTTTCTCTGCATCTTTTATTAGCCATGGTTTCAAACCACTCACACCGCGGCTGGGGGGGGGCGCCCCGGGCCCGCCCCCCCCCCCCCCCCCCCCCCCACCTGTCCATCTGCTCCGCATAAGATATTTGACATCTGTCCTTTTGTATCAGTGCTCTTGCATTGATTTGATTCATTTGTTATGAGTGACATACATCACTGATGCTACAAGCTTTGCCTTTAATTATCTGTCTCTCACAGGAGTAATGGGTGAATATGAACCTAAAATAGAAGTTCATTTCCCTGATTCTCTTCAAGCTGCTAAAGAATCTTTGGTGAAGTTGGAGTGCTTTGCTCTGGGAAAGTAAGTAGCGTAAATGTATCAACCTTCAGTCATTTTATCAGTCATAAAATGGCCACAGCGTCAAAAACAGAAAACAGTTACTAACTACACTGATCTGAGATTGACATTTGCCATAGTGATATTTTTTTTCTTTTCTGCAGCCCTGTTCCAGAAATAAGCTGGAGAAGAACTAGTGGTGTTCCCTTTCCGAGCAAAATTAAAATGAGGAATTCAAATGCCATTCTTGAAATCCCGAATTTCCAGCAGGAAGATGCTGGCACATACGAATGTATGGCGGAGAATCGACGAGGCAAAAATGCTGCGAGGGGCCGTGTCACATTCCATGGTGAGTAGGAAAAATACCACATTAACAACATGCAGATGAAATAAACCTATTTATATTTAATGTTAGCGATATAACACAAATGCTGTTTGTTTAAAAAAATAAAATTTTATTATAAGCATTACAATACCGCCCAGTTGATTTTTATAGCAACAATCCAGTCATTAAGTTTAAACTTTAATGATATGACGCAAAGCTTTTCCAACATGGACATGATTTCTAATTTTCCTGATGACTAATCCATGTCTTGTATAATTAAAGACAATGTAATCTCTTGTTTCCCTCAGCTAAGCCTCAGTGGCTTCAGACAATGGCGGACACAGCTTTGTCCATCGAGGAAAACCTCTTCTGGGAGTGTAAGGCCAATGGAAAGCCGAAGCCGTCCTACAGCTGGTTGAAAAATGGAGAGCTGGTGATTGCTGAGGTATGGAGCTCTGTCTGCTGTCTCGCTGTGAAACAGATGGCCAGTGGGATGGATGAAAGTTCTAAATAAACAGTCCGATGATTGTCATGAATTCAGGCAACACTGGTGTGAAAAGGATAGTTAGAATGTGAGCTCTTTATGTCAAAAAAAAAGCTGCAGAAAACAGAAGGTTTGGCTGAAATAGGAGGAAAATGTCCTGTTCTGAGCCTCACAAAAGCAAAAGTAATCTTTGTCTCTGTAACCATCTGTTAACATTGACATGGTGCGTTGCATTCATCGTCTGATTCGCTTTCAGAGTTAGAAGATAATGTTCAGTGTGACAGCACCAGACAAAGACCCGTGAAATAAAACAGCTAATAGCAGCACCTGGTCTTTTTTCTCTGCTACCGACACCGTCTCCTTTCACTGAATTCATTTGTCGGTAAAAAGCCCACAATTCTACTTCATTATTAAGCCTCAGCCACAGGTGTGGTATTATATGAATAATATACGAAATATACAAATAATTTTCAAAACCTATGAAGAGGGAATACATTTTTAAAATCACACCAACAAAAAAGGCAGATCTGGTCATTTCCTGCTCATTATGTGGTTTTTTTATGATAAACACACTTTATTGCGTTGCAGTATTTTACATATACAGATCAACCAAATTTTTCTCCTGCAATAACGTCATCTCTGCGCAGCGCAGCCCCTGTGGGATTCAAATGTGCAATTCTGTAACTGGTACGTTTCTATAACCGAAACATAGGAAACATGGCAACCCAAAAACCACTCTTACTTTTACACCATGACAAACTCAGACCATTTAGAGACGGAATCTGCTTTGATTTGTCAAGAGCAGGAGCAACACACTGTTAAAGTACAGCTGTATGCTCTTTTACCTCCTCCATCATCGCTGTACCTGTTATATATTTCATCTTTGTTTTAATTTTCAGTATTATATTTTGAATTGTGTCGAGAAGCCGCTCAAGTGTTGGAGGTTCTTAGTGAAACCACTTTTGTTGGATTGTTCTACATCCAGCACAAAAGGAACTTTCAACTGCTGCCGGTGCAGTCGTTAACGTCTCCACTTTTTCTAACGTGCCAGTTTTGCCATTTTTAATTTCTAGCTGAACATACACAAAGTGCCACACGGATCTGGAGGCTTTCTCTCCTACTGCTCTGCACCAGTAATTGCTGCTGTGCCTTTGGACATAAAAGACCCACCTTGCCATGCATATGCATAACTGTTCCTTTCCCCTCCTCAGGGCCGGGTTCAAATCGAAAATGGAGTCCTTTCTATTACTGTGTTGAACACGTCGGATACCGGGATGTATCAGTGTGTGGCCGAAAACAAACATGGAATTATTTATTCCAGCGCTCAGCTAATGGTGTTAGGTAAGATTGCTTCCTCCCAATGCTGTTTTTGTGTCTTTGCATTTTATTATGTGCCAAGATGGAATTCGTCCCAGCAACGTACTGTACCCCTCAGCAATTAGTCTGTGGACCTGCTCGATATCACTGGAGGCCCTGGTGGCAAGACATAACTCTAAATGAGTGTCTCACATGACACACAATCACTATTGACTTGGATGATACAGACGCCTTGGTTTGTAGCACTCTGCTGGCTTTCTGATGTAGATGAGGTATTGATTCATTTGCAAATCTTTGATGACTTTCATGGCTCTATCAAAGAGGAATTCAATTTCATCCTGATACTCACCATGACACCTGGGCTTCAAATGTCTGCTGAGAAAATGGGATGATTAGTATGAATCATGCCCGCAAACTGTGTAGGAAATTGTAATCATTTGCCTTCAGGGTATCTGGGTAGGTGCATTTAAATATTATATATTATATATTATATATAACTAGTGATGCTAGTTATAAGCACATACTGTTTAGCAAATTTATTTTTTACTGTAATTTGTCTTAATCAGCTACGGTAACACTGAAGGCCCAAAATTAACGTTGCTGCAAGAAAATCTTTGTGCTAACTCAAACCAACTCCCAGAACATGACATAATATCTGAAGACTTGCATTATGGCATTCTTGTGAATATTTTTGCTGTATGTAAATATGAGACCATGTATGAGCTACACATTAGTCACTGGGTCTGGGTCTCACTGAGAATGTGGCTGCAGATGACGACACAAACAGAATTTGACACAAAAGTTGACCTAATTGTTTATTTGTTGCCTTAATTCTCTGTGAAAAACATTTTGTCAGCTTCATAACACCTTACACGCTGCGACAAAGTCCATTTAAAAAAATAGCAATTTTACATTACTGCCCACACGACTACTGATTTGCTTTCATTTTGATCAGAGATTCCAGTGTGTAGTTCTGTGACCTCAGTGTTAAAATCAAAACAGCAGACTTGTGTTGTTCCCTTGTTTTAAATTTACTGCTACTGCCATATTCCTGACATTTCTGCATTTAAAACAAAGGAAGCAGAACAGAGGAGGCATCTGTACCATTAGAGGCAGTCATTTTCTATGAGAACGTCTTATTGCACAGTGATTCACTTTAGGCAGGAAGTCATTTTGACTTTTAATGCAAAATTGAGTCAATGGTATTGAATTTTGTGCTTTTACAGTCAGTTCTTGCAACTCCTTCGCTTCTGCTGCTGTTTTTGTGTTTCTGCCAACCTGAAGTGTACTGAAGCACTTCTCTTTTTAACATGCTTTGTGACAAAATAAAGCAAGCCACACATACATAACACTGCAACTGAGTTAGCAACAGCAAACATGAAAGTTATTCTTGACTCCCAAATCATATTTTATTCAATTTATGTTAAGACAGTTTTCAATACATTTAAAAAGTGTGATGTCAACAAAAACAACACTGGATCTTATTCTCAGAGATGTAAGGCCTTGAGAACAAGTGTTAAAGTTGCTCATCTAAGGAAATCCAGGTCCTTTAAGCTGGTTGATATCAGTTTACTCTGTGTCCTTTTACTTTTACTGTCAGCCATGTTTTTTAAAAACAGCAAATACCAGGTATAGTCAGGACAGAGCCTCTAAATGCCGTCATCATAAAATGGACCTATCACATTAATATAGTCAGGACAGAGCCTCTAAATGCCATCATCATAAAATCACATTAAGCCAGGTGGCAGTTGTGCAAGGTTTGTGTTAAAAATCTGCATCAGCTGTATTTTGAAGTAGAATTGAACTTTACATGATTGAGATTTAGTTTGCCTGTATTTTTAACCACAGACATTTCATGTGATTTCCCAACAAACAGCTTCACCTCCCAGCTTCTCTAAAAGTCCACTGAGGGCCCTGCTAAAAGCCCGCTTAGGCAGCGAAGTCACTCTTGAATGCAAGCCTCAGGCCTCACCTCCAGCAATTAGCCTCTGGAAAAAAGGGAATGAGATCCTGCAGAGAAATGAAAGGTAAGACTTCAAAAAAAAATCTCTAGGACCATATTCTTTTCAGCTTTCATTCATTACCACTGCAGGGCAACCTGCTTCAACGGCAGCTGCTAGGCCTGTGTGCAAAGCCGCAGGAATTAAAGTCTCATGAGGTGAATGAAAGCAGGGCAACAAGCAGGGAAAACAGAGTTGGCTGGATGTGACGAAAGAAGGTGCAGGCAGACTATTTAAAAGAGCATGCATGAAAAACGAATGCAGAATTTCTAGTGAAATAAAGTGAAATTGAAGCCTTTGTAGTTTTGATGAAATGCTCAACCTCTTGACAAGGAAGTACACATCTTAGAATTTGTAGAATTGTGCTCACAAAAATCTGTTGCATTTTCACCGTGAAGAATTTGAACAAGAATGGAAAACCCACAGGAAGAAATAATAAGGACATTGAGTAAACTTGGAGCACCACTCAGAGTCTCACTGATGCTCAGTCAGGCGTCTGTCTTCTCTGTTTTGTTTTGATCTGATTTGACATCAAAGGCTCAAAGAGCTGCAGTTAAGACACTGAACAAAACCAACACAATACTGAAGAACTAATTGAAGGTGTTGAAACCCGGAGTAGAGGCAGGAAATTACACTTCAGAACAATCCATCCGCTCTCTTTCATTTTAGTTATTAGAGGCAGACGCACGGCTGCTGGTTAAGCCTCACAGCTCATGTGCACTCATTCTTTAATTTGTTCATTTTCCACCGCTAAAGCCTTTTTTAGGGTGGCGGAGAGAAACTGGAGCCGAGCCCAGCGATCATCAGGCAGGGGGCGGGGTTCTCTGTGGACAGTTGACCAGTCCTTCACAGGGCCACATAGACTAAAGGGACAAATAACCGTTTACACAAGGAGTCTCAACCTCAAACCCTGTCATCACATTGAAGGGCCAACAACTAGCAGATAACATTGTACTGATATCTAGTTGTGGGTCACAAGTGAGTTGTTCGGGGATGTAAAGGGGCCCATGGGCCAGAAGTTTAACATCCCTGATTCACACATTAACACTCCATACTAAGTTATGGCGTCCCATTAACTAAAAAACCTTGTTCTGTTGCTCCTGTAAAACCTCCTCACACACAGGGTGGAATATACACGATACGCCTGCACTGTACAGCATGATCAGTACAAAAAAAATGTAAAAAAATGAAAAATATTCCATCGCTCTCCCAGGTCTTGAAAAGAAATGCTAAACTTAATATATTTTATTTTTTTGTTTCCATGATGCTTATTCAAAAAGAAGCCTAAAAGTAAAAATACTAGTCAAGCATCTTGTCAAGCATTTGGCTGAAGCTGCAGGAACAGCGAAGGGAAACTTTAAATTCCCCAGCTGAGTGACATTTAGCTTACTGTTGGTGTGTGCGTGTGTGTGTGTGTGTGTGTGTGGAGCACGCTTACCCTTAATAGTGCATAACAATGGGTGTCTGAGGACAATGGATTGGAAAATGTTGACTCATGTATGCAGTCATGCTTTAAATTGGAGCAGTGTTCAGAAAATGTGTTGAGCACACATTAGTCTTTGAAAACCACATCAGTTAAGTGTGGGTTCAACCAAATTATTTAAGACTCCATTATTATGGTCTCTGGTGCCTCTGCATGTTAGACAAACCCAATTCTCACTGAGGTTCAAAATGAAATTTTTTTTGGTTTTCATCACAGAATTATCATTAAAATCTTGTCTGAATCTACAGTATCTCCATTACATTCCACATCAGACGAAAAACTTTTTTCACATCATTCCTTGGCAGGAAGACCCGTCAAACTGAGGCATTGTATGTTTATAAGGCATGAAAACATGGAGTTCTTGGACAATGACATCACTTGACAGAATTTTGTCTCTAAAATACCAATGTAAGCCTCGGCCTACGTGCTGGTCCCTTTGCCAAGGTGTTTGATGAATCACACACATCATCAGATATTCTATAGCTGAAACATTTTTGTATCTGAGAAGGAAAACGGCAGTCATGAATCAACACAACGACAGTTCAGACTGATTAACGCAGAAGAACTTAGATAATCATTTAGTTAAAAACAAAATGCAAATTTTTAAAATTGTCAATCAAAGCTTCAGTGCAAACCCCAAGCTTCTTTTGAATTACAAATACCTTTAGGATGTGAATGCAGCAGTGAGTGCATCTTCTCAGACAGTGTCTTTACAGTTTGATGTCCTTGGGGACTCCAGCCTTTGTCACATCAGTCTCATTCAGACATAATATATTCAGAATATTTTTAATGCTGTAGAATGAATCTATCGTGCTCTATTATTAGGGGCACGAATGACTTTAATAGCCATTAATGGCCTTTAAAAAACACATTTATTTATTCATTCAAAGTCCTTCACCGACTTTGAAAACCATTTAGTGATGTGTCAGTGAGTTGACCTCAACACTGAAACAGAGTGATAGGTCACGTGGCTTGTTGCCAACCAGAATTTGAGGTGTTTTGTTTAATCGGCCTCGGTTTTTTTTGTTATTGTTAACCAGTGATATTAAAACAAGCACAGCACCATGACTCAATGGAAAATATAATCAAAGTTGAATCAAATGTGATGAATCAGTTTTCTTTGATTATATTCACGTTCAAGGATTTACCTGAATACATTTTACCTCCAGGATCTTTGAAGTGAACAATATGATGTTCTGTACCCTAAGACCTCTGATCTGTGTGAGAAAGAACTGAGAAATGTGTGAGAAATGAAAGTTCCTTAAACACGGACTCAGGCTTTATTGAATAACCGATGGATAAAATCTGTTGTATTTGTTTTTTGCGTTACGATTCTGGTTTGCTTCCCATCAGAATAACTCTGCTCCCCAATGGAACATTGAAGATTGCCAATCTCACAAGACAAGATACTGGCAGCTACACATGTGTGGCTAAAAACCATTTTGGAACAGCCAGCACGACTGGGAGGCTGCTCATCACTGGTGAGTGCTGCGGAATCACTTTCTTTGACCTTTCGCACATTACCATCTGTTTGTAAGCTGGTTAGGACCAATGCCAGGCACTGAGTATGCAGCTTTCTTTTTATTGTTAGATTTAGTTCCTTATTTTAAGGGGAAATATATTAAAGATGTGTCTTCACGTGGAAGAATTTGCTAAAAGAGAAAACGTTTAAAATAAAATGTAAAATGTGTTGTTATCCATGGGACGTACTGGGTCCCATGTGGTATGTGGTATGTGCCAACATGGTATAACATTGACGCAGACACAAACACACCAAAAAGATAAGTGATATACTGAGAAAATACATAACATCGTAATGAGCTGAAGACGACTAAATAGCGCTGCCTTATGTCAGTCTGCTCTGCCCCTGCCAATTAAAAGGTAATTATATTCCATCTGTGCTTCCTGATATAAAACTATTAGATAGACACTATTTGGTTCCATACAGATCACCAGATCATTGCTTTCAGAATAAATAAGTCATCACAATGTCCATAAAAAATAAGAATATGACCCTGGACTATAATCACAGTATTCCCATAATTTAGTATCACATTTTAGTTCTACTGCTTTCTTTTTACTTTCTCCAGTGTTATTCCTCTTCATCCTTCTCCCTCTGCTCCTTTCCTCTGCCACAATGTTCATGAATCATGAACCTGGGCTCTCTCAGCTTCTGCATAGGAGCTCAATCTCAAACACCTTTAGGCCATTATATATTCACTGTCTCCTTCTACCACGCTCGTGCATCAACTTATGATCCTTTAAATTCTTCCAAGCACACATCCAAACCATCACAACATTATTTCTGGAATCTTCAAATTGTTGTACCTTTCCTGGATCCCTGGATTCCTCTGATCTCCTGTCCATCTTGGCTGCTCCCACTGAGAATCGCAGTGTTTTTAACTCAATTGTTCTGTCCTTCTTTCTCACATCATTATCTCTGTCATCCTGTCCCTTTCCATTCCCACCTGCTTGCACCAATACTTTGGATGGTTGGTGTCCACAGTTATGGTATATGACCTGCCCCACCCTAACATACTTCTCTGCCACACCTGGTTTCCTCATATATGGTATTGCCACAAACCCTCTGTGATACCATTTCAAATGCTTTCTTTAGCTCAGACATGAATGCCTTCTGGACCAGCTGCCTTTTTGACTCCTCAGTTGTCTTTCCACCACTTCCTACATATTGATTTCCTGCACTGCTTTCTTACACTACTATCTTATACTACCTGACTTCAGTCTATCTTGAAAGTATTTTGCAATCTGTATCTCTCCAACTGGTATTTTTGGTGCAGGAAATAATCCACACTATGACCATATTCCTCCACTTTTGTATGTCAACCTATGCTCCCTCCTCCTCCTCCTAAAATATGGGTTGACTACAGTCATTTTCCATGCTTTCCTCTCTTTAATACTATAGCTGCACAGACCCTTTTACTCTGTTATGTTCACCAATATAAAGTCTGCACTTATCACCACACACTGGAGACACATTTTACAACTTCATCTAGCTTGTGCCTGAATATCCTTTTATTTTTTTATCTACTGACTACCAACTGTCTGGAATTTAACATGCAACCCAGTAACTACCTACAGTCGATGCTGCACCTGGGCGACATCATCCGAAAATAATATGTTGATATTTTCCTGTAAATTCTGATATTTTCCTTAATACATATGTGTGTGTGTATGAAATATATATTTTTATAGAAAGTATGTAGTGTAAATAAATAATAAATGCAGTTAAATACAACCTAATTTTGTTTAAAGCACTTACTTTCCTTTATATTGTAACATATTATTTCAGGAATAAAGAAAAGTTAACTTCTGTTACTTTAACCTGATGTGATGCATGTATATATTTATATATTTTCTTGACGTAATAATGTAGACATGTCAATAGACTCTGCTTTTGGACAGATTCGGTATTGAAGAGCTTTATCATCGTTTACATCTATGAATAACGTTAAACAATTGTGTTGATTAAGCGATGGTCAAATGCTAGCATGGTAAGTCAAAGCTACTGTTAAAGACCCCAGTGGCAGTGATATTAACATGCTTCTGTTGTTGTCTGGGCAGAGCCCACCAGAATCACCATGAGACCCACTAACATGGAGATCATTGTTGGCGAGAGCATTGTGTTACCCTGCCAGATTGCCTGCGATCCAGCTCTGGAAGTGTCATTCTCATGGGCATTCAATGGTCAGCTCATCAACTTCCAACAAGACAGCGATCATTACGAAAGAGTGGGCGGGGTGAGTGATGTCAAGCATGAAAACTCAGATTCTATCTGTCTGTCTGTTTGAAGATTAATTGGACCATACAGTGCAGTATGCAAGGCTATGCTCTGCTGCTCGGCTGAGGGCTTCTTCAGCACTAATAATATCCACCAGAGGATTTAAAACCAGAATCATTCATTCTAGAGGTGCAGTGAGGAATGAAATATCAAAAAGTATCTATTAAAAAGCTTTGACATATTTGACATACATTGTTATATTCTGGGGAGCGCTCAATAAATGGCACTACATTACAGCAATCAGGATGTTTACTTTTAAAATTAGTTGAAATAAATGATCAAAATTTCAATGTTGTCATACAGAACATTTCTATTAATGTAATCTTCATACCTTTAAGCAAGTAAAGGATAAAGGCAGCTGTTTGATCACTGCTATCTACAAAAAGTTAACTATGATGGACTTTGCTGATTTTGATTGGGTAGGTAGAGTTCCATTGAGCCAAAGCTAATGTTTGACACTAGGGAACAGCTTGTGGTGCTGCACAGCATGACCTTGTTCCATCAAGATAGACCAGAGATCCTGTCTGAGCTAAGTTGCATGGCTTATGTGAAGTTAAAAGCAATACAGAGGACAAACTGTGTTTGAGGATCTAACCTGTAGCTCTGGGCCCTGCAAGGAACTCTACTTTACCCCTTCTTCTTCACACATCCAAACATTCTAAGATAATACAGCAGTTTGAGTTGGTATTAGACCAATACAACTAGTAGTACTAATCTGCGAATATTTACATCTGTCCACTGGTCGAGTGGATATATTAGTAGTATTAGGGAGAGAACGTGATTAAAGATAAAGAGAGGCACAGATCAGTCCTGCACTGACTCCTGGACTGCCTGGAGGAGGTGGAGTGAGATGAAGACCTTAAAATGAAAGAAGATAGTATTGTATGTACTGAGATGTTCCTTTGACAGAACCCGACCCCCTTCTCTACAGCTTCTAAAGAATTCATTAGCATAATAAAGCAAATGCAGCTCATCACTTCCTTTCTGCTAGAGCGCGATCCCATGCTCTCGGCTTGCAGGTCGGCCAGGTGGTGAGCTGACACCGAAGGGAAAATCAGATATGAGGAAAACTGTTAAAAGGCTGTCAGGTGAAATGGCAGGAATAAAGTAAGTGAAGAAAAAAAAACCAAAAGTGAAAGAAAATGTGGGACAGGCTCTATTGGCTGGAAAAATGGGGCGATTTAGTTTGGTTGTGTTCATGTCTTTTCATACTAGTCTGTAAGTTGTCTGTGTTTCTACTGCATTTTATTTTCCATATTTCTGATCCTGTATCCTGGTAAAAATATTTTGTTACCAGAACTTTTGTTTATTAGAACTGCATATTTAAAGCTCCTTGGATGAATTGACATGGGCGACTGAAAACCTTCACAGACTGTACTGTATAAGCGGAACACGGCTTTCAGATGCACATATGTCACCACCTGCAAGTGGGGGATGAGAAGCTACACATCCAGTGTGAAGAAATGCAGAATAGCTTTCAAAAAAGCCCTGTTTTAATTCACAGCCAACACAACCATACATTACAAGAAGGAGAAGTCGTCGTGAGTTGTGCTGTTTTTGTTCTGGTCTCTCCCGGGCCACCACATGCATGCAGATTGCTTGAAATAATATTTGCTTTTCACACAGAGCTCTGTGCTCTCCAGGGTTGCTGGTGCATTTGTAATTACACAATAATTGGGCTTAGTTTCCTAATGAACTGGTCTATGATTATTTTTGGTGTCCTGTGGGTGTCCTGTGCCTGTTTGCTGGTTGGAAGTTAAAAAAAGAGGATGATGGATGCTTGGTTGCTTTATACTGGTATTAACCAGCCAATAGCATTATTGTGTGTCTTCTTATCTGTTGTTAGGCAAACGTCAGAGGCCTGGTGATGAAAAGCTTGGACAAAGCTTTGGGATATTTTAGCAATTACTTCAAGGGATAATTATTTACCTAGTACTGCATTTGTTTTTGTCAAGAAGTAGGTTGTACTCGACAGATCATTAACCCAATCCAATAATGTTGTGTGGCAGAGTATATCTGGAGATCTGATGATTCGTAACATCCAGTTAAACCACGGGGGGAAGTACGTCTGTACCATCGATACTGAAGTGGAGAGCTTGTCGACCTCCGCAATTCTCGTTGTCAAAGGTAATGCTTTCTACAATCAGGAAATCAAATAAAATCCTTGTCAGGACCCAGGACATATTGATGTGGTGTAAACTTACCTGACGTCCAATCTGTCTCACAGGACATTAGGACTTTAGGTTTCTGTTGACTTTCCGTTATCTCATACTAGTGTATTTTTTCACCTTTGACCTGGAACTGCTGCTCCTATTTCAAGCTTTATTTCTCGGTTTAATGTGAAAGTTTTAGACCATCAGCAGTTTCTAAAAATACTCAAAGCTGTCTGTCTGTCTGGCGCCAGCTGTCGCGCCATTTCAGAGTCAGTCAAATCACCTTTCTTCTTCCAGGTTAATGATTGTATATTCATACGACAAACTGTAAAAAACAGTCTCAGGTGCTCCGCGGAGGCAACGTTTATCACAGAACATGACTGTAATTGTTTTATTTACACATCGACAGGGGCTAACCTCATATTAGAGTGTCACACTTCATTTTCTTATCTGTGAACTGACATGTTGTCAACTGCCTCACTGCTGTCTCCTTCACTCTTAACACCACTTATTTCTTCCCTATCCAGATTATCTGAGCCGACACTAAGACTCTGCTTCTCAGTTATTACTTGTTTTAATAATCATCTCACACACAAAAAATAAAAACCAGAACCTGTATTAATCAAATTTAAACTAGAGTGATGAGGTTCTTAACAAAGCATAATGCTAAGTTTAGAGAAGATTGTTCACTATGGATGGCTTGATCTGGCAAATCAGGATCAGATGGGTCTGATATAGGTCAAAATTTCAGGATCAAACATCGTAAAAAAAAAAACTATGACCCATAAAATCTGGTACCTAAACCCAAAATGTTCAACTTAACAGACATGAAAAAGTTGTATGGAGCCATCCCTAGTGCTCACTGTCTTTAACCTTCCTGCGATTCATGGACCAGGTCCACCAGGTCCTCCAGACAAGGTGTCTGTGGAAGAGATCACAGACAGCACAGCACAGCTTTCCTGGTCTCCCGGAAGAGACAACGGCAGCCCCATCATTGGTTACATAATTCAGGCTCGGACGCCTTTTACCGTTGGCTGGCAGGCCGTTGACACAGGTAGTGTAGACACCTTTTCCTGTTGTGCTTTCTTTATTATTCATACTTGTCTGTTTATAAAGAAACATGGGAATAAGATCCTTGGTCCACTATCACTTTTTTTTATTTTCCCCAGACGTGGCCTTTTACAAGACCTCACAATGTGTCGTCTTCTAATTTTACTTTGCAGTCCCAGAGGTGATCAACGGCAACATGCTGACAGCCACAGTCTCAGGTTTGAATGCCTGGGTGGAGTATGAATTCAGGGTGGTGGCTCGCAACATTGTCGGTCTGGGAGAGCCCAGCCCGCCCTCAGCCAAGACCAGGACGGAGGATACAAGTACGTCACACCCCAACAACTGCCATGAAACACCTATGGAAACCAGTGTTTCTGTGTTGTTGTTTTTTTAATTCATCTGCAATACGTTACGTAATAAAATGGTTTCATATGTTGGATATGTTTTATAAAATAACAACTGAAAATCAATGTGTTTTTATAACTGAAAAACTTTAATATGCAAATAAAGTAATACATTATATAACATATCATATATTTTTGGCAACATTTTCAGAAAAGTAAAAAAGTGAAAAGCATTTTCTGGCATTTAAATTTACCAGACGTCAATACAATGGTGTCAGACATAATTGCTGCAGCAGCCGTTTGATAATGTGACACATAAAATGTGATGCTTCACTTGGTAAAAGATATAATACAGACATAACATCACTTCTCCTCCACCTACATTGTTAGCTTTGCAATCACACTGCAATGCATAAAAATACATCGAGGCAAGAACGGAGTCGGATAAGTCATATGTCATTTGCAAAATATACAACACTTTTTCGATTTTTAAAAAATGATTTATCCTGGTGTGTGTGTGTGTGTGTGTGTGTGTGTCTGCAGTCAACAGGATGTCACTGAGCTTTGTGAACTGTTATATTTTTCTCCCTTTTTTGGCTTTTCCCACCAGTTCCTGATACAGCTCCCACTGATGTTGGAGGTGGCGGCGGCACAAAGTCTGAACTGGTGATAACATGGGAGGTAAGTCATCTGTCACATTTTACTGCTCTCTCCACCACTTGGTAATGGTTTTGCTTAATTGTGCAGAATTTAAGAGAGTGACTTCACATTAGAGTGAGACACATTTTCTCCAGCCCAGTATGTGTGCAATTTCTATCGTGAGACACATTTTCTCCAGCCCAGTATCTGTGCAATTTTCATAAACAGTTAGTATATATATATAATTTGCATCAAGACAGTAATGCAAATTATAAATCTGAGCCTGTTTACAAACCCACACTTTTGTAGTTCAGAAGGTCTGAGATCTGGTGAAGTTCACGAGCACCCAACACAGTTTTTGTTTCTTTTTGTCAACATACATCAAAGTCTGTGTCTTCTTTTCCTTGTCTTTGGGCTGTATCCAAAGTTTTCCTGGATTTAAACACAAACTGTCCTTGGACACAAAGAGTTGGTGGTGGCACATGTTTGATTAATGGCTTTGTCTTTGTTTCTTCTAGTCACGGGGAGCATTGTGTTTAGTTGCAATGACTCTCTTCTGGAATTCTAAGCTGTTCTCCATCACAGTAGCGTGGCAGTTTGTAATGCTCTTTTGCCTCAGTGCTCCGGGGTGATGCACCTTTACTGTACATGCATTGATTTCTCCTGCTTTTCTCACACTTATTCTCACTATATAGATAATTAGAACTGCTGATAGTGACAGGACCTTTGTCTTCTAAAGTACAGCACAGGTTGTTTGCTATATTTACAGCCTTGCTTGCTTGTTGGTTGAGTGTGGAATCTCCAGGAAAGTCTTTTACAACTTTTTCAGCCGTTAATAGTGTGTTACAGACGTGTGTCTACAGATTTTCTTCTAGGCGTGTTTGCCAATGTTTCGGGGGAGCGCGTTATTGCAAAACAAGTACAGTGATGGCAGGGTCTGCAGGGGACATATAGTACAGTTAAAGACCCTACCTTGAAGCCATTTTGTGGTGCAGAGAAAGGGCCCCTCTGTGTCTTTGTCTGTATGTTTTTTAATATCACTATAGTTTTGTGTTTCGCTCTCAGCCCGTGCCTGAGGAACTGCAGAACGGAGAAGGTTTTGGCTACATCATCGCCTTCAGGCCCGTGGGCACGGTCACGTGGACCAGAGCGATTATCTCCACCACCGGGGTGTCGCGCTATGTTTTCCGCAACGACACTATCCCGCCCTTTGCACCATTTGACGTGAAAGTGGGTGCGTTCAACCACCGTGGAGAGGGGCCCTTCAGCTCTATTACCACCGTGTACTCAGCAGAAGAAGGTACAACGCCCAGCAGCAGATCGGTGCTAAAATACTCTGTAATCTCTCTCCTTACGACCGCGACCTTGAATAATAATAATGATCAGATTCATACTTGCAGTGCAGTTATTCCCTCCCCCCCTTGAGCTAGGAATGCCAACTTGATATTAGTTATCATGTGGGTAGATTACAGGAAATCCAAGCAGACACTTAGGACGCCATGCTGCCAGGGAGGTATCCCATTAATTGAATTTGCTTGGCAGATATTCCTCCCTTATGTCAGTCATAGATCCCTTTAAAAGAGAGGAAAGGAAATCACTTTTCAGTCAAACCACAGGTTTGTTCGGTGCCTTTCCTCATTTTGCTCTTAGTGTTTGTGAGATGCTCTTGGATGAATCTATGGGATTTTTTACCAGCACTTTATTTCGGCAGTCCCCGGTGTAGCGCCTAAGAGCATTAGGGCTCGGAACGTGTCTGCAGCACAAATTGAAGTGATCTGGGAAGCTCTGCCGGCCATCTCTGAAAGAGTACTTGGATATGAGGTAGGTTATTAATCTTTTTGAATATTCACCTTTCTTCCTTTTCTTGTTCATAACTGTCGTCTCAGGGCATCACCATGTGACCTGTTTATCTGCTCGTATTCATTCTGTTATTAATGTTTACATTAGGTTTCCTTTTAAACAGCAGCCCCGCGTGTCTGGGCAGACATGATGTTTCCAGCACAGTCTTATCAAAGTGTGACTCTAATATTTGACAAGCAAGACCACAACAGGAAAAATAAAACCCTTCATCTTTTCAAGAATGCTATGAGAGCTTCTTTTATTTTTTCCTCCCACACTGTGCTTTCACTATCTGTCACCTCTGGACCTTGGTACAACACTCGTTTCTATGGCACTACTTGTGTTGTCATTTCAGAACAGAGTCTGTTCCCCTGGAGTGGATCTGGTCATGTATATACATATACTGTGTATATATATAATATATATATATATATATATATATATATATTTTTTAACACCGATTTTGGTTTAATAAAACTGGATTTAATACAAAATATAACATTTTCTTTATATATAACTGGCTACATTTAGGAATTTTGGCCTTGATGATTAGATTTGTTAGAGTTTGGATTTTTAACATCAGCCGAAGGATATTTGATCATATCACAAATCACTTAATGTTTTATTGAAACCTGTGTTTACACTGGGAATATTATTAAAGATAAAGTGAAACCACAAACTGATTTAAAGGATATATTACCAATTTTCCTGGTATGTCGTGCCCACTATGAGTCCCTTGAAAATTAGAATGATCCATTTTCTTTACAACTCTATATATGTCACTGAATCCTACACACTTCTCTGATCATTTAATTGGCTGTTGCTATGGCTGCTTTGGCTATCTTTTTCCCACTTCAATGTAATTACTTATCACTTTATAAAAGACTGAATTACTGTAAATTGAACTCTGGAGCTTCTCGTGCTCAGCTTTGATTGATACCTAATTTGAAATATAATAATGTGCAAGAGATAAAACAGCATAAGTATCCCCGTGGGTACAATCCATATTTCATTTCAATTATCGAAATGTATTGTAATTGACGCTGCTGTCGCATCAAACTCAACACATGAATATTAAAGAGAAATCAATGCAAGCCACAAGCAGTGTCTTTAAATATCCCATTTCCTGTACTTGTTACCTAAAACGAGGAGGGATCCTGGTTGATGTATTTGAAGCGGTTAGAAATGCGAGTTATTTCATGTTCTCCTCTGACAAAGTTAAGAAGCAAGTTTGGCCTTTTGACCTGAGTTAGAATATTTTCCTGGGACACTCTTCCTATGACCCACTAATGTCTTGTTTGTACAACCACAGTAGCTGAGAGGATGTGCATTAGTAATTGAGACTCCGCTTGTGAAAAATGTATTATTCATCAATGCTTCCTCCCCTTCTGTCTGAAATACAAACTGCATTTCAGATTTCATGGCAGGATATACATTTTAATAATGCAATAAAATGCTCTACGAGGCTCTGTCTGTTTATGTCTGTGTTTGTGAGATTTCCTTCCTCCTCTTTTCCACTCTCTTACACAACAGGTTGTGTACTGGGAAGACGACACCAAACCTGACACTATTGGGAAAATGCGTATAAGTGGAAACTACACACTGGTGAACATCACAGGGCTGAGAGCCAACACTGTGTATTACCTCTCTGTGGCTGCTTTCAATACTGCTGGCCCGGGGCCACAGTCAGCACCCATCAACGCCACCACAAAGAAACCACGTGAGTCCACCCTCCACCCATACCCATCACCCCCCACGGTCACTGAAATCATTTCTAAAGGGTTCTTATTCTCGGCTGTATTAGAAATACGTCATGCTGCCCTCCCCAGTTTCTTCTCCCTCTTTGGGCTACTCTTAGGATACTTATTCTGAGGAGTCATGTGATGAGACTTTAGTTGAAGGTAACAGCAAATAACAGTCATGTTTCGCAAATAAAAAGGATCAGGATTCAGCTTCCAGTCTCATTTCCTGTGGCTCTCTTTGAACTGGGTGTACCACACTTGCACAACTGAAAAACTGAAAATAAAGAAAATTCAAAAAGGCGTTTTTTATCCACCATTTTGCAGTACTTTGAATTATTATCTCTGCTGTTTCTTAAACAAAGTGGATGAAGTCAGCTGAGGAGGAGGAGGATAATGATGTCACAACAGGATGGGACTCAAAAGTGAGGAATTCTCACATAAATAATGTAATGTAATGAGTGGTAAAGGCAGATAATCAGAATTTAATCCTGAACGTGAATTTCCAGCTAGTAACAGGAAGAACTTTGACTTTGTCCATTTGAACGACACGTCCCTTCCAGGGCAGTTCAATGCTCTGACATAGAATGAATTTTTCATGAGACAGTGACCATGATGTACACAATCTGTCTAGTCTGGGAAAAGAATAAATACATTTTTTTTCACATATCATTTTTCAAGGCCTTAAGAATTACAAGCATCATTTGTGATCAAAGAGGTGTTGAAGACTGAAACAGATTCAAAGAGTGGCATTTAGTGGTTCTTAGGCACTGTGTTGTTGAGACAATACAGGGTCCTTATGATTTGTCCTCTTCTCTACAAATACAAAACCTGTCCAGTCAGGGGAAGAAAAGAGACTGAAAATACCAGTAGCACTGAGTCATTTATGTAGGCACTCTGTTTCCAGGAGATGACAGGGATCACAGAATTCTTTTGGGAGAGGTAGTGTGGAACAATAGGTCAGTGACACAGTTGTAGGTGGAAGGGATTTGACTGCCACCGTATTAAGGTCCGCCTTTAAGTCCAATACCCTAAAGAAGCCATCCGACCTGGGGAAGTATTGTGTCACCCACTCGCTATTGTGGACGGCCACTCAGCCATTAATAGGACAAGAATGGAGGGGGCCTTGTGACTGCAGGATATGGAGCTAAAATATCCAATGATGGTTCGCTTACATAAGTACATGAATGGGTGAGGTTTTATGAGGGACAGATAATAAGAAATGGATGTCAAAAGCCTCAGGACAGACCAGTTGAGTTGGTGGATCTCCATCCGTTCCTAGATTGTGTGCAAGAGAGACCCGATCAATAATGCAAGCGTCTGCTCCTGATTCAACAAACATATCAGGAGTCTGTGGTCCATCTGAAGCACGGTTAGGGAGGGAGGCTGTGGGAACAGGTGACCTGCCAATAGAGTCACTGTTGAGTCACATCCTCCTACATCCTCACTTTCACCGACCAGTCTTTTTACTTCACAGATCATCCATGCTGTGTTTCTGTTCAGGGCTGAGTTGCTGATGCTGCTGTCCTCAGCTTCTGTTGTCTACGTACGGATCACATATTCTACTGCTGCATAGTCATAGTTGAGGTTAACCAGATTATACAAGGTGAATAGGAAAAACTCAGAATCCGGTTTATGTTTCTAAGACCCCTCAGAGAGGCACCATCTTGTGTTTATTGGTTCCAGTCACATTGCCTCACCAGTAGGGAATTAATAACTTCTGATTTTTAACGTTGACTAATCCAGAGAATCGACGTATTTTGAGCTTTATTGTTCTTTTTTTCCCCAAATTATTCTCATGTTTTTATTTGCAGAGACTTTATTGGTAAATCCCAGAAAAGTGCATCGAAATATGCTTTTGTTTTCATCTACTCACTTGTGTAAAGTTCAAGTGAAAAGAGTCCTGAGGCCAATTTAAAGTCATGTTTTAATTAGTTTTATGCTGAAGCTATAATATACTGTTCTCACTGATAAGGGCCTGGTGTCATATTTCAAACTGCTGCTCTCCTACACGTTTTATTCCGAGGCTAACAGCTGCCTGAGGAGAGTTTAACAGCGTATCTTCATCTCTTGTACTTTTCCAGCGCCGGATCGTGCTCCACTCAATGTACAATGGACCATGACTGGCTCCACACTCACACTGCAGTGGGACCCTGTGGTCCCCATGGAGACGGAGTCAAAGGTCACTGGATATTTGGTAGGTGCCTTCTCACTCCAGAGCCCCGACTTATCAGAGGAATCGACGCTTGTTTTCGATTTCATCTGTGTTCTGCTCTGTCCTGCCTCAGGTGCTGCTGAAGAGGCATCGCTACAATGACATCAGCACAATCCCGACCAACAAGACCACCATAGAGCTCAGCCTCTCACCCAATGACAACTATCTCATTCAGATAAAGGCCTGTAGTGACGGTGGAGAAGGAGTGGGGAGCGAACCCATCCACATCCACAAATTAAGTGAGTTCTCTCCCGTCGTTCTGGACTCAGAATGTTCCCTTTTTGGCAGTGGATGGAGCCTGAGTGAGGATTTAATAATCAGAAAGCATATTTAATTTGGCTTCATTGCTTTTTTCCAACCATGTGTCACTGACTTATTTCAAGTGTGAGAGAAATAAAGCGACCTTTTTAGAAATGCATGCATGGTGCCATTCATCTCTGCCACTGGGTTAATATTCCTTGTTGACTGGCTGAGCTGTGCAGCAGCATATAAAGCAGCGCTGCTCCCCCCCTTTGCGCCACTGTGCAAAAAATGGTGAGATGTCTCACTCTGCCACTCACAGCTTTGAACTGAAATGAATTTATCTTCTCAGGATAGCGCCATAGCTCTTATCATTAGTAAAAAGTGAGTAATAATGTATTATATGAGGGGGGAAAAAAACGTTGGTTTCCTTTTGATTTATAATGCACTGTCACACATGTAGAGGAAAGCATGGCAGAGTGCATGCTTCCTTACTTTGATTGGGAGAGGGTTTCTGGTTATTTATGACCTGCTCTGCTGGCTTTGGTTGCAGGAATGGGAGCGCGAGGCTCAGGAGCGAGCGCCCTCAGCTCATGGCACCTCTCTGCACTCCTCATCAGCGCTCTTCTCAGCTCTGCCTGGTGATGTCTAATCAGAGCTTGCAGAGTGCTTACCCACCCCCCCCCCCCCCCCACCCCACTTGTCCCTTCAGTCAGCCTGTCCTTATGAGCCGTGCGCTGGACTCTTACACTGAAGCCAGGGCAAGATAAAAAAAAACAAAAACAGTAAAAATAAAGACTGAACTGCATCAAAACTGTAAGGGACCACACCGCTTCTTTGGAAAGGACCATCTGATAGGGTTGTGATATTTGTGTGCATGATATGTTTTGGTATCCTTTATGTTCCACCATCGGAAGTGCCACTTTAGTCCAGCTTTTGTCCATATGATGTAATTTTTTGAGTATTTCTGCAGATGCTAATGCCTTAAAATCAAAATTTTCTCATCCAGTCTGTACCAAAGTAGGTGAGAGAGACTGCTTCATTCATAGTTCCTTTGAATCTACAGTAGTGTTTTGTTTTGTTTGTTTGTTTTTCAGAGCTAATGCATTGCGTATATTGCGTATAATTTTTAGGTGAATTTTTAACAAAACCAGCTCCAAAACCGTACTCTTCAGTCAACATTCATTTTAGCAGTTTACACTCAGCAGGCACCATTACAGTCATGAAAAATGCAAAGCAAATTGATCAACTGTGCCTCCCGCTGACTAATCTCTGAACTCTGACATAAAATTGCTCTGTCCGAGAGCCACATGCTCCTCGGCTTTAGTCTAACACAACGTTCTTTGACCGATCTTGGCATTCTGCGCTCCTCTAAATAATTGATGCCTCTCTCGCACTGCTTTCTCTGCCCATAGTCTGAGGTGGGGGATTGCAGAGAGCACAGATGCAGTGTTATTATGTCAAACAAATCCCACACGTCCTGGTCCGTCCCTACATTTCGATGACCCACGCTCCACATACACGTGTCATATCACAGAACGTCCACCATCCTCACCTCAGATGACCAGCTTGTGCACAACGGACTACAGGTTGTCAGTGCCTTCACTTGAGCTACTTTTCTCTCCTAATGTTCTTGGGAGAAAGACAGATTTGGTGGAGAGAAAAAAAAGGAGGCAGTTTTTAATTTTGCTTTTGAAAAGTGTGATTAAAATTTCATAGAGACAAGTAAAACAGAGCACATCAGACAAAATGGTTGGGAAGCTTTAGTAAAAACAGAGAATTTTACACTGTAGTGGACACTTGTGGTGTAATAAATGCACAATTTCCATCCATGGTTTTTAGATATTTGATGCCATCATGTTGAGGAATAGCACCTTGGCTAGGGTGAGTGAAGGACGGGGCAGTCATTCATTCATTTCCCTAATGTCATTGTAAATCTGTGGACACATATTTGATTGAATGGTGACCAACAAGAATTGCAGCAGTGTTGTAAATTACTTTCTACACCCTGTCACGTCCAAGTGGAGGAGTTTACTCAGCTGGACTGCTTCGTACTGCCGTGCCTTTACTGAACATGTGGTTGTGTACGGTCATTCGTTTGGAGGCTGTCGTTGTTGTCTGTAGTTTGCACCCTTTCACTCCCACCACTCGCCACCGAACCCCACTACTAAGTCTAATTATAGCACAAGCAATTGATGCAAGGTGACTGGGTGTCCTCACTTAGCCATCTGGACAGGTGTGCGGCCCCCAGAGGACCTTTAAATGGTTCAAACGGCCGACATAATCAGGCTGTCCTATCTGCTCCTGGACTGGTCTCACGGCGTTCTTTGCTCGTTGACTGGATCGCTGCAGACCAGTCAATGGGATATTGATTTTCCTGCCCCATTATTACAGCTGCCACATTTCAGCTGTTAGATTGACTGATGGCTCATCTGTGTTTCTGATGTCCACTCCACAGCCACAAGAATTGAAAGGTTTTCCTTTGTACTAGGTATTTTTTAATGAATAACTTTTCATGGATTTCACAGGAATTTTGTGGTGTAGTGGCGGATTGTGAATTTGAATTGAATTATTGACCTAAATCTGATTGGTTGGTTGATTCTGTGATGTAATTCAGTTCAGTAATACAGTATTTATTTTCTCTCTTAATGTTCTTATGGAAGCCCAGTTACACCAGGATTAAAAAAGATCCCACAGAAAAGTGAAGAATTCTGACATCCCTAAACTCAGTCAAGTGGTGGACAACATACTGTGTTGTTTAACATGGCAGCTCTTTAATCAGGTATTTGTTCCACACAGGACTTTTACCACCAGTCAGACAGAACTGAAAAGAAAAAAACATTACAGGCCAAAGGTGGAATGTTTCAATTAAAACAACTTTTTCTTTTTACTAAATTCTTAGTATCAGCACAAACTGTGGTGACGATCTGAAGGACTAACAACTTCTATGGAAACTTAACTTTATATTATTTATTTATATGTGATCTTTTCAACCTTTCCACTATTACCTAACTGTACTTGTATATTTTTAAAGTCAGTAATTAACAGTAAGAAATTGAAATGGCAGCCTTACCAGGATGCATCTCAACCTGATAGCAATGCAGGTCCCGTAAAACCCAGAACAAGATTAAGGGATAGAAGAAGAACGAGTCTGATTTGTTTTAATTTTTTTTTTGTGGATAGGCTTCTGTTTTGTCCCTGATGTTGTGACTGTGGCCAAAAGTGTCCAATTGATTTATTTACCATTGACATTGAAATTAAAAGACTTTGGGTCATTTTAGATTAGAAGGTTGTTATTGTTACAGTACAGCGCTTCAGTGTGTGACTGCTCAGAGCTTTTGCTTTTGCCTAAAAAAAATTGCGTACAATACAGTTTATGTCTTTGAAAAGTACAGGTGCAGGAAGTGAGGAAGGCAGAGTGGAGACGCCGCCTGAAGTACAACATTACAAAACTGTCCACAACATTACACTGAAGTCTGTGGTTGTTGTTTGTAGAAAAGAGTAAGCCGTCGAAGTGTACATAGCTTTCAGATATTTTTTTAAATGTGGCCATCAAAGACGACCTTATTGCCTTTTACAGTGTGTTCTGAACCTTAATACTTGGGTATTAATCCACGATCTCTGTGAGATACTGACATGTAGATCAAAGTTTTCATATTGAAAAGTAACTGTTTTGTCTTGTATACTAAAATTGTGCATGTTAATAATTGTTGGTGATTTTGTGTTGGATTTTTTTCTAAAGCTACACCTTAATTAAAAATGTTTATTCCAGTCATGTATTTGTCTGTATTTCATTGAGTTCCTGGACTTCTGGTACAGTTATGTCATGTACAGAGGGTCCTCCAGTTACGCAGGGCTTCAATTCATAGCAGCATTGTAACTCAAATTTTCACCATAAGTCGGAAATTACATACAACTACATATTCCATATTTAAAAATATGTATAGAAATGGACCTCGTTGGCATGAAAACTAGTTCTTTTATATGGAGTTAGTCCAAACCAAACTGAGCCTTCTTTCTCATCGGAATAAGGGAAAAAGGACTTTCTTAATAAATTTATACAAAGAAGGTGATGCAACACAACGGTTGACAACAATGTAAACAGAGGATCCCCTGTGTTTGGTTAATGAACACACAAGACAACTCGTATTTTTACTGTAGATTGTGCAGATACATTTATCATGAAAGGTATTTTGTTTTTTACCTTGAATTACCTTCAGACCGAGGAACGTCGAAGGCCTTGGTTTGTGTGACTCACATGTCTGTATACAGTGCACCGTAGCAAGCTAAATACATTAAAGGTGTTTATGCCTGGTCTGGGAAAACACTTATTTTTTAATTATTTATTTGTTCTTTAGAAATGTCTCTTCACTGTGAAAGGTTTTTTGTTTCTCCATTTATGGAGAGTCTAGATGGAAAGTCACATCTTTGCATCCATTATCACTGGAGATTCTATGAATATGCAAATCAGTTTCCACCCATACTTACAGCCTGCAGTGCAATAAAATCCAAAAGCGGCTGTTTGACTGGTTACTTCATGCTACACAATAACCAGAAGTATAAACTCCAATGATTGTAACCGTTATCTTTGCTGGGCTATGTTCAGTATCCTACAGTCTTAGGTTTCAACATTCAAAGAACAACAAGATGGAGGGACTCTGAGGGTTTAAAGGTCAGTTTTGAGATTCCAGATTGCATCAATGTGTTGACTGGTTTGGGTTGTTTTCATTCATTATTATGATGCGTTCTGTTTTACATGGAGTCATTCAACTTAAGTGCTAATTGGTCCTCCATTACAAAAACAATTTTACTCTCTTCCATTAAAAGTATTTTGCATGGAGCACCAAAAAAAAAAAACAACAAAAAAACATGCAACACTTCTTATGATATTTAAATATGACACACACTCATTTCAATTTCAGACAGAAGGTATAAATACTGAGTTGACCCCAGTATCCCCTCCTGGACACCAGGGGTCTTTGTGACTTTTCCTCTCAGTGTCTTGCAGGTAATGTGAGTGTAATGAGCTGCACCTGGGCACTGCCCACAGACTGGCCTCTACTGGCCATGCTGCCAGCCTGCTTTCTGTTCTGTGGATTATATTTCTCTCACAACTGATTTCTACTTTTTTGCTGCAACTTCAGGTATTGTAAAATGAATTTATAACTTACTCCCATTTTGTCTCTCAATTTGACATGGTTTATGAGCCAAGCTGTCGCAATACTGAGCTTTATAGCTGTCAGTGCTTGTTAATGAGAGCTAGCCGGCTGCTTCTTGAGATTTTACCTAGAACTAGGTTTACTCACTGCAACACAGTCTGAGGATAAACTGTTTTCCTGTCTAAACACCAAATGCAACAAAGTGTCATTCGTCATAATGTAATGTCAACATCAGTACTTATGGAGGAATTTGTCACAGTGAGTTAGAGCTTTATAGGTATGTTAACAAGCTGGGGTTTTTTTTGTTTGTTTGTTTGTTTGTTTTTTTTTGTTTTTGTTTTTTTTTTGTTCTCTCTCGGTCCCTGTCAGTTGTTCTTGTCTTCACTTTAAATCAAGCGTGTTTGAAGTAACTCCACCTTCGACAAAGTCTGACCATAGCACTGCAACCAATGGTGGTGTTGTAGGCATAATTCTTAACACCAATTTGCTTAACTACCTTTGGTCATTTCATATTCTTACACATATATAATTCATAACATTACCCCACTAGCTGTACTTCTGTACTGATTTTTCTTTTAAATGTTACATTAATTGTATTGTCCTTTTTTATTCTATAAGTAGTTCCTAGGCAAAGATAGAGTATGTAAAATCCACAAATTAATTGTGCTGTGCACTGCATAAATTCAAAGTCTAAAGAGAGTTCAACTAATTCAATCAATTATATCCAATTTCACTTCTAAGAATGGAGATCCGTACATTAGTATTCACATAACCATATGCCATACTGGAGGCACAAAGGGGGCGAGGGAGGCAAAAGTGCTCTGACTTACACAGGGCTCCGACCCAACAACCTCAGCGACGTGCACAGATCCTACTGTGCTTTGAAGGCTGCTTTCTTTTAGCAGGAAGCTGATGATCAGACTGGGACGGCCATGAAGTAGTGGCTGTGTACTGATGATGTCGTGTTGGGTGTTTTATAATCACGTCTCCTGCAGGGCCAGACATATGTTGCAAACAAAACTGCGACAAAAAGTGACTTTCAAATATTAAGTACAAATAGGAATCATATGTAGCCTGTCCCTTCAGCAGGTGTTGCCACAGCAGTAGTTTGAATAGTGATTTGGATCACAAACACAACCACGTGAGCTCGGTGGAATCAACCCAGAACCTCTTCCAACCACTGCACGTTTATCAGAAATGGTAGAATGGGATTGTTCTCAGTTTCTTGGGTTTTGAGCTGCTCGTCAAACTACCATGCTAAAATGATTTAGCTACATTGACAATATTAAGTATATATTTACTCATACTTATTCTTTAAACACATATGTTGAGGTAGTTTGATTAAATACGTGCAATTACATAGCTCTGTGATTCAGCGTTGTCTATGGTTACAAATGAGTCTATGTAAAAATTCTGTAACGTGTATAGTTTTAGTTTTATTTTGCTGCTGATCTACCAGCGCCCACTTTGTGAACTACTGGTAAATTAAGCTGGTTGTTGAGCATTTCTGTTGTAGAAGATCCATATGTAGGTTCCATTGTGTAGCTGTTATCATGCCTGTCTTTTACACAGAGAGCAGAGAGTCCTGGGTTTGATTACCAGAGGAACCACATTTGTGGCGCCTCCAAGAGGCAGCCTGTTGCAGCACACGTGCTGTTTGGCCAAGAAAGTTCATAAAATAAAAAATAAAAATCCACTACCTTTAACTCCATTAAAGTTTTTAATTTGATGATGATTGATTTAACAAAGATCTAAATTGCGAGGCCATCACAACAAAACTAATCATTCAGCAGCTAGCGCTAAAGTGTCCTCCGTGAGGACACCTTAATCCTCGCTGCTCCGTAACAGAGGCTGACCCGCCATTTCCGAGCTAGGCAGCCTTCGGCTGGGAATGAGAGCTGGTGTGAGTGCAGGAGTGCCTCTATCATAGATAAAGGACTACATATTAGGCGAGAAAAGATAAGCACATGCCTCTGAATGCTGAAAGCATTTTATTTCTAAGGGTGACCTAGATCAGATTAACTGCATTTTCTCAAGCTAAACAAGGTTTGAATGTTAACACTGTTAAAAAAAAAAAGTTCACTGCTACATTCTTGGAGTTGTTGGATGCTGCCATAGGTTTTTACCATTAATTCAAATCGAATCATTGTCTAATCGCACGTCTGTTGTGGGATCAGTAGGTGAAATCATTGACCGACCTGTTTTACTGTTACTTTTGATTCCTGTTAGTGTTGGACACTTAATAATTAAAAATAATTAATAATAAAATATAAATTGTTGAGACAGATAAGGCAAATACGCTTAAGGTTAAGGATCAATGTGGTGGTTGTCACGATAAAAGTGAACCACGGTGGTCTGTTAGTAGGAGTGTGGATGAGAACAGGTTTTAAAATGCCGAGCGCACATCTCTACTTCAGACCCCTACCTGACCTTCTCCTCCAGAGGCTTAGTGACACTTTAACAATGGCGTGCTGTGTAGCACAGATGAGTGTCTGACTTTTTTCAAAACTGCAGTTGAAAAAATATAAAATGCATATCCTTATACACAAAGTGCTTGCTTCATCTTACTACTTGCCATAGAGTGAGTAACAAATATGATGGTGTGAAAATAGAAATACTCATTTAAACCAAAATAAATGATCAACATGTCAATCCAGCTCAACTGTTAGCTTCCTGTTCTATTAAGCTTGTCAGCGCTGAAGAGCAGCACACCAGCAGGTCATCATTCTTTGGAGCGCTTGATTGTTGGCTGTTTTTAGAGTACGAGCCATTCAGCAACAAATTATTAGACGAATGGGGAAAAAGCTTCTCCTCAGATTATAAAGATAAAGATTATGAGCTTCCATTGTTGTTTCAGTGCTTTTCAATTAAATTGATCTTCAGCATGCAGCTCAAATGTTCAAATATTGTCTTTTCTAGAGAACATTTGTTGTCCCTCATGGTGTTTATTTTTTGTATGCAATCAAGGCAAACATGTATGTACATGTTCAATGTGATTTTTTTTTTCCTTAACTCTCTTGGCTTTTGACTTGAACATCTGGGAAATTGTGATCTACAATCATCAGGAGATAAAGGTGTTCTAGGTCAGTTGTTCTCAAACTGTGGTATGCGTACCACCAGTGGTACGTGAGCGTTCTCTGGTGGTACGCGGGGAAAATTCACATTTTCAATTGAATACATTTGAAACATACCATGCACAAATAATACAACATTTAGAAAAAATGTGTAGCTACTTGTGAGATTATGAAATCGGAAGCTAACAGTGAAGGCCTGTGCTGCTATATTGTAATGTTGGTCATCATGGTGGTACTCAGAGAGCTCAGTGTGGTACAGAGGTGGTGGTACAGAGGATTAAAAGTTTGAGAACCACTGCTCTAGGTGATGTGTGGTGAAGGTATTTTCAGGGGATTTCTTAAACAGTTTTCAGAACTCATTGTTTGAGCATGCATGAGAATAATGAGTGTAATACAGTAACTTGAATTAAATTAAGTGAAAGCGTGGTGGAAGGAAGTGAAGAGCTGTAAAGTGCCTGTTGTACTGGAGACCTTAGCAAACCTAACTCCTGTGTTATAATTGAGCCTGGATTTATTATCACTGCAGTAGATGAACAGAAGCAGCTGTCAGTCGCAACTGTTCAAATGGCTTCATCCATCATCGAGGCAGCCAAGTATGTACCGAACAAGTGTACGTTTGGCTTTTTAGAGATAATATTGTTTGCGTCTCCGACAGCTGCTCATGTTAACAGCTGGATATTGTTGACGCTTTTGCAGGAGTCTTAAATACCAACTAAACTGGAAAGAGCAAAAGGAAGAAAAATAGAAAATTGGTCCAACAGTGCCAGGTGTTCTATAACTTCTCCTGTGTATTTGTTAAAATGACTCCAGAGATAAATTCAAAAACAGCAGACCTGGGTGTCCAATAGGTAGATCCCAATCTAGTAGTGATGGTCCGATCCAATACAGGATCAGTATTGGTCAAAATTTTACAATCGAACATTGAGAGGGAAAAAAACCCCAAACTAACAACTATAGCCCGTCCAGTCCGATACCTACGCCTGAATGCTCAAGCTCCCATGACATGCTGTAAACAGGAACACTATTGCCTCAGCAACAGTAGCCCAAGGTATGCTGGAGGGGAAAAGAACGTATCATTGGATTGATATTGAAAAAGTGTGTGCCCAGCCCTTCCTACAGTTAACCAGTAGTTCTCAAAGGGAGTGCTGGTAGATGTTGAGCAATTTAAATAAATAAAAATGAATTATATAAAATCTTTCGGACTAAATTTGTAACCATATGACTCATATTGTGCCATACAGCTCTATGCATTTAATCAAAGGGCTGCAACATACAGTATCATGTATGCATGTAGTGTATTGAGTCATTTATTTATCCCACAATGGGGAAATAAAGAGTGTGAGTCTTTGCAATCAACACATATCGCCACCGGAGGTGCCATTAAGTATTGGGTTGCAACTCACAGGTTGCCACATAGCATTAATGAGTAAATATATATTTTATAAGATCAACGTAGGTAGATCATTTTAGCCTTGTCACTTAAAATGTAGCTTTCAAGCCAAGAAAGTGTGGACACCTCTCAGGTGGACTTAGTATACCAGGTACAATATCTATGCATTTATTCATCCAAAATAAATAAATCGTTGGAATTAGAAACAAATGAATACAGTGAATATGGCCACTGTGTCATTCAGAAGATTAAAGATGGCTCTGGCCGTCTGAACATAGCAATAGATCTGGTCGGCAGCCTGGATGCTGCAGTGATCCACTAATTTAAAATGATGGCTGACTTGGGGGCTACATGGTTAGCATGTGAACTGAGAAATGTTAGAAATAACAGTAGTGTTTACATTGATTTTCTATCAGTGGAGACGGGTTTGATGCTGAATTTGTGATTATTTTTTTTTCTCCAAATTGCTAAGAAAACCACATACAGTAAGTAAATCAATTTGTTTGGGGGGCTGATTTGTT